TTCCACACATGTGGTTCGATGAAAAATACCTTTAGTTTTGAAAAACTCACGCATAAAGAACTCAGGACCATTGTCAGTATAAATGGATTTCACACTGGTTTGGAATTATTTTTCATGAAATATGATGAAATGTTGTATATAATCACAAGCTTCTGATTTGTACTTAAGAAATATAATCCAGGTATAGCGGGTATGATCATCTACAATTTATAAAAAATACTTGTGTCCGAGAACAGAAGCATGTGGTGTGGGACCCCAAATATCTATATGCAACAAATCAAAAGGTTTATTAGATTGAGTGTTACTTGTACAGAATGGCAGTTTGCGCTGCCTAGCAAAATGACACACATCACATGGTGATACAACCTTAGAAGGGAAAAAGGGAATTTGATAGCCATATATTTCAAAAGTAGTAGGGGAAATATGGCCTAGCCTAAGATGCCAAAGTATACGGTCATCATTATTGGTACAAGAGCTTGAGTTACATGCTACTGCTGGAAAAAAACTAGAAATGTGTTTTGTAGTATCTATTGAGGAGGGAACAACAAATGTGAAGAGGCCTCCATGTTGTTTAGTTGTACCAATCTTCTTCTTGGTACTCACCTGCTTAATGAAGCAGGAAGAATTAGTGAAGACAATATAACAATGTAGAGTAGAGAGTAATTTGTTGACTGAGATAAGATTGACACAAAAGTCAGGCACATATAACACATTATACAGAATTAAAACAGTAGATAAATGGACATCTCCGGGATAGAACCAATGTCCTTTGAACCATTTGGTATTCTTGTGAAACGAAACAAGACTTGAAAGGGAGGAAGTTATGTGATCAGTTGCCCCGGTATCAAGAATCCATCACAATTGATTACCTGGAATACTATTACTTGTTGCTACATTTAGTGCAGACAGAGACACAAGGTTGGCTTAGTTGGAGGTTTCTGCCTTTTGTATAGAGGTAGACATAAAATTGGCATGAGTGGAAGCATGAGCACATTCTTTCTAGGATTGGAAGGCTTGCATAAGATCATGGAATTGTTGGGAAGTCAAAGTCACATTTGATGCATCACTCCATTTGTCTTGATATTTTGTTTGCATTGCACTATTAGCAGCTAATGTACTCCTTTTGTAACTGGGGGGAAAGCCATACTTGAAATAACATGTTTCTATAGTGTGATTACTCATCTTGCAATGAGTACAAAACCTTGATTCTCGTCCTCATCCTCATCCTCTTCCTCCTTTGTAGCTAAATCGCCCTCTGCCTCTACCTTGTGAAAAGCTCTATCTATTTTCATCTGACTCACTCAAGAACACCTTTACAGAGTCATCAATTGGAAGACTAAGATGAAATTATCTCTCCTGTTGAGCCAGTATTGAGAAGACTTTGTTGACGTCAGGCATGGGATTTATCATCATTATTTGGGATCGAACATGAGCATATTGCTCGTTCAATCCATTCATGAATCTTATTGTCTGATCTTGATCTCTGCGAACTCTAACTTCAAGTAGCGTGACGCAGTTGCACGCCATGGCACATTAGCACGTAGGTAATGGCCTTAGGTTTTCCAGTTCATCACAAAGGCCTTTAAAATGCGTAAAGTAATCAACTATGGTTTTATCTCCTTGTCTCAACTTGTAAATATCTTCTTGCAAGTCTGAGATCTAAAAAATGTCTTCCTGTGAAAACCTTTCTTTCAAGGTTTTTAAGCATCTTCTACTTTATCTATCCACACAATCGATTGAAGGATTGATGGAGATATGGAGTGATGGATCCAAGCCAACACTGTTGTATTGCACCGTTGGCTTACAGCAAAAGAGGGATCCATTATTGGAGGTGGTGGCAAGCTTCCATCAATGAATCCAGTTTTGTTTTTGGGGAGCAATGCCATGGACATCGCTCGTGACCAGAAAGGTAGTTCTTTCCATCAAGCAATGTTGAAACTAGCACGTGAGAGGGGCTTTCGCTTGGATGGAGAAAGTAAAGATGAGAAGAATTTTTAGTAAAATCAAAGGCTAAGCTTTGATTCACCATTGTTAAAGTAAATGATTTCTTGAAAAATTGTTGAAATGATGATGAAAGAAATGGAGAATCAGAGCTTCTCGAGAAGGTCAGATACCATCTTGTGAATGAAACTTTGATGGTATTTCACATAATGAGAAAAACTGATTACATCAGTGGTATACATATATACTGTATGAAATAAAAGAAGAGAGCTAACAACTAGCTAACATAATGTACAACTAACTCCACAAATCACGAAACTAATCAACTGAGTACACGTCAACTAATACATCTTAACTCATAGTTACGTAATATCAGAAGCAGTAATAGTAGAAGCAGTTCAGTCAAGTTCATACTTTAATACGGGCATTAGACTGACAATCTATGTCTTATTATTCTCTAAAATCACTTTTGATATGGTACTTTTGTTACCCTAATAAAGCTATTGTTTTGGATGGATTTAGGGTCTGTGTTGGATGAGTTTTTTTTCTCCAAAAGTTATTTTTTTAAGAAAAAAAAAGCACTTTTCACTATAAGTTCGTTTCAATATCTACTTTAAAAAAAAAAAAAAAAGCAAAAGTCACAAAAAAGTCAAAAGCCTGCTTTTTTTGGAAGCTAAAAATTGTAGCTTCTAAAAAAAGCAGAAGTCAAAAATCAAATATTTTTTCGATAATTAAATATTTTTGAAAAAAAAACTAATAGCTTTAACTTTTGTAAGAAACTCTTTTAAAATAAACAAGACATAAAAACTGCTTTTTTTAAAAGACCAAACAAACATGCTCTTAATATTCGTTACTTTTTCCTCTTCATTTTTGTTGATTTGAACGTTTGAGTCTTTATAAGTACAACCTCAGAAGCATGGACATGCAGATTGGAAAACAAAAAACATGTCGGACATGGACACGTTCAGACATGCGTCTGACACGTGGTTAATATTTTGGGACACACATCCTACATGTTGTCAACATTTTTCGACACACAATCAACATTTTTTGACACATTCTGACACGCATCCGACATGCAATCAACGCTTTTCAACACACGGTCAACGTTCATACAAATTCAAATTTTATTTTATTTTATCCTTTTAACTAAACATAAAAAATTAATTTATAAATCAAATATTTTCTGTTACGGAATTTGACATGAAAAATTAACAAAGCATCAAAAATTATTTTTGCTTTATAGTTATGTTATAAAATTTGAATATTTGATTGACTATATGACTTATAAACTTCTATTATATTAAATGTAAACTATATTATATATATTAAAAATATTATTTAATATCAAAATGTGTCCTAACATGTCAAAATCTAACATTTTTTAAATTAACATATCAGCGTGTCGTATCGTGTCATGTCCCATGTCACGTGTCGGTGCCGGTGTAACGTAGAATACAACTTCCCCCGCTTTAATTGCCATCGACAACATCCATGAAGGAGTCTTAGCAAGAATATTTGTTTTCACTAATAAAGTAACTTATTCTCTATCTCACACACACATATATAAATGGGGTTTGCATCTATCATGTCACATGACACACAAAAATTTCTTACACTCCCGATATTTTGTGGGGCCCGCATTTTTTGAAGCAAAAAAAAAACTAAGGCACGCAAAACGAATCTCTATAACATTACACAATCACTTTTCCTACAACATAACTCTTATAAAACCTTATATAAATAGAAGAATTGGTTTGGCACTAATGTGAGAATAAAATACCTTATACTCATTATTAAACAAATGACGAGCCTTGAAGTAGAAATAAATATATTCTTTGTGATCGAAAGATCACAAATTCGAATTTAGAAAAAAAAATTCACAAAAATACAAGGCTAAAGTCAAGTACAAACAATCATCACTCTTACCCTCATAAGTCTAGAGCTTTACTCATCAGGGTTTATCATTTTACACTCATTATTAAACATTGATTCTATTTGCATCCTACTACAAACCATCACTTATAATAAATTAGAACTAATATATATAAATATAATAAAAATTTAATAGTGTTATGGACCTCTTAAGTGGTTCCTACTTCTTTTCCTCATTACATAGAGTATCTCATTCCACCACTATTTCCTAACTTTTATCCATTACAAATAATCACTCACTAAGCATTGCATCATACCATTAAGTCACCTGTAAACTACCTACTAGGGGCACAATCTCCTAGTGCATTTCATCTATATATGACCCCTTATAGCTAACAAAGGAGGCTCTCATCTGATAACTAATCTTAGCATTCACAAGACTTGTCACCATGGCTACAACCTTCATATTTGTGTTCAGAGCACATCCTATTCACTAAACAGGTGACTCACACGCACTCATTGTTAATACCATCAGATGTTAATACCATCAAACTTTATCCTAAGGTGCAAGACTTCTAATTGCCTGTTATCTTTACTCCATAGATACAAATACTAACTATTCTGTTGTATATTAATGTTCTTTCCTGAACAAATAGTAAGTGTAAATTTATCAATATTATTAGCCATGTTTCATTTGTAGACAAGGGCTCTAATTTACGAGATCAATAACTAATAACGAATATCAAACTTGTTATTAGACTTGTACTTCCTAAGTTAGGGTATAAGTTGATCCATATATATTAATTATATCTTATTTTTGTTCAAAATAATAATTCATGAAAGGTTTAATTAATTATTTATTTTGTATTTGTTTTTTACGTTTATTTAGTGTGGTTTTTCAGCTGTCATACTCATAGTGACCTATAATAAAATAAAAATCTAATATTTGCGCAGTCAGAGTGTGAGAGTGAGAGAGAGAGGTGTGGAGCGCGGAGTTTTAGTTAACTTAATATTGAATGAATACTCTCGGAAAAGCAAACAGTTGAAGAAAAACTCCTTCTCCTTCGATCTATCACTATTCCCATTGCTATTACATTTACGCTCTTAAATCTCAATCCTTGAGATTTGAGCTTTCTTCTTCTTCTTCTTCATCTTCTCTCTTTTTATTTCATTTTCTCGTGAATCTCCACTTTCTCGCTATCATGATTTCTTCAGGCAAAATCAAATCCGTCGATTTTTACAGGTCAGGATCTCCATTTCTTTCATTTTTATTTTTCTTTTTCATTTTCTCTACTACATTCGTGCATTTCGCGTTTCTGCATTGACTTGTTCTATCTATCCATGAATGCTCCGACTTGCGTGTTCGCGTGCGAATCTTCAGTTACAATGCCGGTGCTTCTATTAATTTGATCGGAAATGTGTGGTTACTGATTGCTTGAGATGATAATTACTGTACCTGTTATTCGCTCGTTGGTGGTTATAGTTAACCCTATATGAGGTTTTGGTAGCATTTCTGCAATTGAATTTGCTTTGCTGCTGATATGCATTTGGCTTAAAGGTTTTTATATTTATCGTTAAGCTGTGTCGAGAATTATTCGCTGTGAAATGTGCAGAATTGGAGAACAAGGTTGCGGTTTTTTTTTTTTTTCAGTATCTGAATGCAAAATTAAAGAAAAAATATTAGTAAATGGAGGATTTAATTTTGACATACTGACAGTGTAAAATGATTTGATTTTACACTATCAGTGAACCATGCACTACCGTCTATTTGAAAAACAGTTAAAAGTTTTTACTGGAAGTGGAAAACCGATTTTACTATTGTGATGTGACACTTCCTTGTTTATTGAAAATGTCAAAAGTTTTATGCTGGTAGTTGATCAAATTTAATATTGTAAAAGAAATGGTGGTATAGGTCGGTCCAGTGAGAATCTCGTGTCTTGCACTTTTTTCCCTTTTTTTTTTTTGAATACAGCTGGAATCTAGGAAAAATAGATTAAAAGAGAGAAGATGTTTGATACTGAAAAGGAGGATATGCTTATTTAGATTGAAAGAAAATTTGAAATTTGAAAAAGAAAAGTTAAGAATTATATGTATCATTTTTTTAGGAAGAGTAGGACAAGAAATTAAGCCACTCCCAAGTAAAAGGACTCAAATTTATATATATGGGGGTGGATTTGTGAATGCACATGTGACAGTATCTTCTTACTGATAGATAAGTTTTTACCTGTCGTCTTCTGTCTGCAGAAAAATCCCAAGAGATTTAACTGAGGCATCAGTATCTGGAGCAGGGTTATCCATAATAGCAGCTCTCTCCATGATGTTTTTATTTGGAATGGTCAGTAGCTTTCACCATTTCTATTTAATGCTTATGACTTGGGAACCCTTTTAACATATTTTGTATGCATGCGTTCTGGATTCATATTAGGTTCTATTCTATACTGTTTATGCCTCAATTTGGTTTTGTCAAATATTATCTTAGAATTAGTTGTCAAATTTCATCTTGATGCATATCATGCGACCTTGTTTCAGGAACTTAATGATTATTTGTCTATTGGCACCTCTACATCTGTCATTGTTGACAAGAGTTCTGATGGGGACTTTTTACGTATAGATTTCAATATCAGGTAGAAGCCTAAATAGGTATTCGCTATCTTTGTTTGAATATGATGTTTCTCTAAGGTATCTGCCTATGATTGTATATACAAATTATTGGCGACTTCATGGTTTTCTTCACATGAGTTTGGCATGCTGCAAAGAACTTGGGCTTGTGTCTGCATACATTTGTAAACTGTGGCTCTTGTTGTCAAGAATGTATGGCTCTTGTTGTCAAGAATGTATGGCTTTTGTTGTCAACTTAGGGGTTCAATTAGTTGTTTGGCAAAATCTTGGTTAATTCATTGAAGAAAATGATTAGTACTTTGACTTTTATTAACGGAAATTATTTTCTTCTTTTTTTGGTAAAACTTTACTGTTCAAGCTTAATGATGTTCATATGGAACACTCCTTTCTTCCTTTCAAGTTCATTTCCTAAATGGGATTGGAAACCCAATTTATATTTTACATGTTGTGATGGTTTTGAAATTGACATGAAATCAAGGATTGCCAAGGCGATAATTTTGTTTCTCATGTCTCATGATTTTTCTCTTAAGATTTTTAATTCCTTGTTCAATTCATTTAACAACTGTAGCTAGTTATAGTATTATTCTGAGTATGTTCAATTAATTTAATGACTATTTATAAGCTCTCCTTTTCTCTATCAATTGTTTCTTGCTGATTGCTCCAATTTATCTTGTAGTTTTCCTGCCCTCTCATGTGAGTTTGCATCAGTTGATGTGAGTGATGTGCTGGGAACAGTAAGTTTCTATTATTCTATTTGTTCCATGTAATCATTTCTAGAATAAAAGATTTGTGCTTTTGGTTTAATAAAATTTGCTCACTTTTGTTTTTAAGTAATTAAATGTGTCATATACTCCCTGCATTGGCCGTAATGCAGGTAAAGTGTCTTTAAGACAGAGCAAACAACATAAATAACTCCATTTGTTTTTTATTTGCTTTTAGTTAATGTGATAAAGCTCATAAAATCTTTAGTCTGTTAGCTCAATAGCACCTATCAATGGAGATATTCGTTAAAACTGAATAGCAAAGTAAAGGTTAAACATGAGGATACTATTCATTGAAAGATGCTTTTTATAATTTTGTGAAATCAGGTCTTAAGCAACCTGTAATTAACCACTAGAAGATGCTGTTTATTTGTTCTTCTAGAAATTCCTTCTTGTTTTATGAAGCTACCTGTAACCTTCATAATTTATCCATTAATAGACTTCCAAAATTGTATACGCCATGTCCTTGCCATAATTTTCCTATGAAGTGTGAACTCAGGGCACTGAAATATAAGAAGTACTTGATATGGGCTTAGTGCTTCATTTATTCATTATTCTTTATTTGAAATGACAAAATCCTCATTTTCTTATACATTTTAAGATTTCATAATTCATATGTTCTTATACCTTTTCGTCTCTGGTTCCTTGATATTTAATCTCGTCCTTAATTTGTGACCTCTTGTTTTCAGAACAGGCTGAATATAACAAAAACAGTTCGGAAGTTTTCTATTGATTCAAGTTTAAGATCAACTGGGGCTGAATTTCATTCAGGACCAGCTACTAATCTCATTAAGCATGATGATGAAGTAGATGCAGAATCCATTGAAGGTTCTTTTGTACTCACAGAACACAACTTCGATAAATATGTTCATCAGTAAGTGGGTCGATCACATGATTCATTCATTTGATTTTGTGAGTTTTGAATAGTTCTTTTTCCCTCCTCTCATAGGTTGCGCATAGTTATGCATCATTCACACCATTTTGGATAATCTTTTGGCAGGTTTCCAATTACAATTGTAAATTTTTATGCTCCGTGGTGTTATTGGAGTCAACGCTTGGTAATTATTTTATTTTCATTTCTCGCTTCTTCTTCACTTCAGGAAATAAGATGGTTCCTGATGTCTTCGTTGTTGCCTAAATATATTTAAAGCGTGGTTGTATGAGCTTATTTAGAGGAAATAATAATTTTTTATGTAGCATCTTGAAGCTTTTGAAAATAAATAATTATTTCTGTAAAATTAATCTTTTGCAAACATTCACTTACTTTTCTGCTTCTACTATAAACAATTTCTTATTCCTTAAAAGATAGGGTGTAAGTGTTATATAGTGCATATCATCTGCCCGTGTAAGATGATTGGTGAATTACTTGGTCATGATGAAAGAAATTATGGAGAAGTTCTTCTGTTTAATGGTTGATAGTTATATGACTCTCTCATCTTTTCCTTCAGAGACCTTCGTGGGATAAAGCAGCTAAAATAATGAAAGAGAGGTAATTTATTTTTTTCTTGTTATTTTCACCTCTGAGAAATTAAACTTTAGAAAGTCTACTCTGTTATCTCTTGTGAAATTGGTAATTATCTTAGTATCAAGTTACTAATTAAAGGTCCCATGCACAATTGCATTTTTGTTTAGATATGATCCTGAAATGGATGGCCGAATTCTTTTGGGGAGGGTAGATTGCACTCAAGATGGAGACTTATGCAGGAGGTACCTTTTTTTTTTTAACAGAATTCAGTTTCTTAGTTTCAGCTGTTTTAGTTATCTCCTTCCCTTAATCTTTCTGTCTTATTAATTGTGTTGAGATATAAAGTCCCACATTGGTTGAAGAGCAACTAATGTGGAGTTTATAAGGCCTTGGGCACTCCCACCCTTTGAGCTAGCTTTTGGGGTGGTGTATCCCAAGGTTCTTTAACATGGTATCAGAGCTTGAGGTTCGATCCTCACCGCCTCCCACTTTATGGAAGCACAAAAAAGGTAAACCAAAGTTGGGCCTGTTGCATAATCCACGCTTCAAGCCAAGAGGGCTCTTGCGTGAGGAGGCGTGTTGAGATATATAGTCCCACATTGGTTGAAGAGCAACGAATGTGGAGTTTATAAGGCCTTGGGCACTCCCACCCTTTGAGCTAGTTTTTGGGGTGGTGTATCCCAAGGTTTTTTAACATGGTATCAGAGCTTGAGGTTCGATCTTCACCGCCCACTTTAAAGTGGAAGCACAAAAAGGTAAACCAAGGATTGGGCCTGTTGCATAATCCACGCTTCAAGCCAAGAGGGCTCTTGCGTGAGGGGACGTGTTGAGATATATAGTCCCACATTGGTTGAAGAGCAACTAATGTGGAGTTTATAAGGCCTTGGGCACTCCCACCCTTTGAGCTAGCTTTTGGGGTGGTGTATCCCAAGATTCTTTTATACACCACCCCAAAAGCTAGCTCAAAGGGTGGGAGTGCCCTAGGCCTTATAAACTCCACATTAGTTGCTCTTCAACCAATGTGGGACTATATATCTCAACACGCCCCCTCACGCAAGAGCCCTCTTGGCTTGAAGCGTGGATTATGCAACAGGCCCAATCCTTGGTTTACCTTTTTGTGCTTCCACTTTAAAGTGGGGGCGGTGAGGATCGAACCTCAAGCTCTGATACCATGTTAAAAAACCTTGGGATATTGTTGTAAATAATAATTATTTAATTATTATTTAGTCATTTATTTGTTGTATTGGGCCAAGCCCATTAGGTCAAGTATTCTCTATAAATAGAGAACCCTTTGTACAGATTATACACAATTCTATAATATATTAGAATACCCTTTTTCAAGTTGGTATCAGAGCTCTCGATCTTGAGGGCTCTGCTTCCGCGCCTACGAAACCTTTTATTCTCTTTTTTCGTCTCTTGCTGCCATCAGCCGCCACCGGAAATTTTTTTCTGGGGACCTCTTGGACCGAGAAGACGACTATTCCTTTTTTTTGTGTGTGTTTCTTTGTCTCTGGTTTCTGCAAAACACAGTACCAAAACCTTGACCACGTCCTATTATTGCAACCACCGTCAACGTCAACGTGAAACAGCTCCTGTTCGTTGGTTTTCAACTTTTTCCGGCCGATTTTTGCTCCGACCAGCCACAGACCCAGCCGCACTTGCCGGACGCCGCCGCCCTGAAAAGCCCAAGGTCATCGGAGGTCAGACGCGCCTCCACGCGCCGCCCTTCTCCCTGCGCGTGAAGCCCACGTGCCGCCAGCTTCTCCGGCGCGTGACGACGCGTTATGGAGGTTCTCGTGGTCGGACCACCGCCATTCTTCTCGTCTCCTTGTTCTCTGTCTGGATCTGTGATTGTTTCACTGATCGGACTTCATTTGATAATCTGTTTGGTTGATTTTATCGCCGGTTGTTAACTTTTTTATTGAAGAATGGCCGAGAATGACAGTTCTTTGATCTTATCTGGTAAGAGCACACATTCTATATCTCTTCTTGCTTCTTGCACTGATTTTAAAACCTCATGGATTTTGGATTCTGGTGCAACTGATCATATGGCTTGTCGTACTGAGTTGTTTTGTTCTTATCATCCTACTGTTGGTAGTCATACTATATCCGTAGCTGATGGATCCCATAAATCAGTTATTGGTTCTGGTAACATTCAAATTCAACCTTCCTTGTTTCTTAAAAATGTTCTTTATGTTTCTCAGCTTTCTACTAATCTTATCTCCACTCAAAAACTTACAACTGATTTGAATTGTTCTATCACATTTTTTCTTTCTCCTTGTGTTATTCAGGATCTTACCACGAAGAAGACAATTGGAGTTGCTAATGAACAGGATGGGTTGTATCATCTCCTTCCAGACCATGCTAGCGAAAATCAGTTATTAATGACACGTCATCCTTCTACTGCAGAGTCTATGATTTGGCTCCATCACAAGCGTCTGGGGCATCCACCATTTAGTCTTTTGAAGTCTATGTTCCCTTCTCTGTTTCTCAATAAGTCGGTTGAGACCTTTCATTGTGATGTTTGTGAATTTGCAAAACACCATCGAGTGTCTTTTCCTTCTAGCACTATTAAAAGCAGGGAACCTTTTTCTCTTATCCATTCTGATGTTTGGGGCCCTTCTAAAGTGGACAGTGTTTCAAGTGCAAGGTGATTTGTTTCTTTTATTGACGATTGTACTCGGGTAACATGGATATACTTGATGAAAGACAAGTCTGAAGTATCAGAGATATTTATTCGGTTTCATCACATGGTTGAGACTCAATTTGGTAAGGGTATTAAAAGACTAAGATCTGATAATGGTACTGAGTACGTCAACCAACGCCTGTCACAATTCATTTCAGACAGAGGTATGATTCATGAGCTCACCTGTGTTGATACCCCCCTCAACAAAACGGGGTTGTTGAAAGGAAAAATCGTCACCTCCTTGAAGTTGCTAGAGCACTACTTTTCCAAACATCTGTTCCTAGTTCTTATTGGGGAGAAGCAGTGTTAGCTGCAACTTTTTTGATCAACCGTTTACCTTCACGTATCCTTAAAAATATCAGTCCTATTTATTCCATGACTTTTTTCCTTCTGTTCCCATATTGCAGAGCCTTCCACCAAGAGTGTTTGGATGTGTTGCCTTTATCCATGTTCAAAAACAACATTGGAGTAAGTTGGATCCTAGGGCTCTTAAGTGTGTCTTCCTTGGTTATACCCCTTATAAAAAAGGGTACAAGTGTTATCATCCACCAAGTCGAAATTTTTTTCTTTCTATGGATGTCACCTTTCAAAAATCTGAATCTTATTTCCTGGGTCTTCATCGTCAGGGGGAGAACAGTTCTTCAGAAGACTCGTCCTCTTCCTTCTTTGAATCTGGATCAATCTTCTCTCTTCCTAGTGTGTCTGCTCCTGGTGTGTCAGAACCTTCAAATACACTTGAGATACGGAAAATTTTGACACCTAAATTGGTATATCAGAGGAGGAAACAACCCATACTGTCTCACCAGCAACCTCAATCGTCTGAACCATTGGTAAGTCCTGAATCTCCTGTTTCTTCTGAATCTCCTGTTTCTGATTCTAATATTATTGTCTCTCATGATTTGTCTATTTCTTCTGATATCTCTAATGACTTACCAATTGCTTCTGCTTCTGATGACTTACCTATTGCCCTAAGAAAAGGAAAAAGAACTTGTTCCAAGAAATCTTGTTCCTCATGTCCCTCTTGTACTCAATACCTTATCTCCCATTTGTTTTCTCTACTAATCTTTCTGTGCAGCACAAAAGCTTTGTTTCAGCACTAGATTCTACTTCTATCCCAAAATCAGTACATGAAGCTTTGAAAGATGGGAATTGGGCTCAAGCCATGCAAGAGGAGATGAATGCGTTGGAGAAAAATAAAACATGGGAGGTTATTGATAGACCCAACGGAAAGAAAGCAGTAGGATGCAGATGGGTTTATGCCCTGAAATATAATTCTGATAGCACTCTTGAGAGATACAAGGCTCGATTAGTTGCTAAAGGTTACACTCAAACCTATGATATTGATTATGAAGAAACCTTTGCTCCAGTTGCAAAGATGAATACGGTGAGAATCTTGTTATCCCTTGCTGCCCATTACAATTGGGATATAAATCAATTTGATGTGAAAAATGCTTTCCTCAATGGTGAGTTAGAAGAAGTTTACATGAAAATCCCGCCTGGTTTTGATTCTGTGAAGGGGGAAAATAAAGTTTGTAGATTAAAAAAGGCCTTGTATGGATTGAAGCAGTCACCTCGTGCTTGGTTTGGAAGGTTTACTAAGGTTATGATGACTTTAGGATACAGACAGAGTCAAGGAGATCACACTCTTTTCTTTAAGCACTCCCAAAATGGGAAGCTTACTGTGCTCCTTGTATATGTTGATGATATTATTATCACAGGTGATGATTTTGTGGAGAGACAGATTCTGCAAACACGACTTGCCTCTGAGTTTGAAGTCAAAGACCTTGGGAAACTGAGATATTTCCTAGGGATAGAAGTAGCTCATTCAAGCAAAAGAATTTTTATCAGCCAGAGGAAATATGTTCTTGATCTTCTCAAAGAAACAGGAAAGCTCGGGTGTAAACCCTCTAATACTCCTATTGAGCAGAATCACAAGATGGGCTATGAAGAAGAAAGTCCTCCAATTGATAAAGGACAATATCAACGGCTAGTTGGGAAATTGATATATCTGGCCTATACTAAAGCAGACCTAGCTTATGTTATTAGTGTTGCCAGTCAGTTTATGCACGATCCAAAGGAAAAACACATGCAGGCAGTAGAGAGAATTCTTCAGTATCTTAAAGGTACTCTTGGTAAAGGATTGTTATTCCGACGTGATGGCAATCTATCTTTAGAAGTCTACACAGATGCTGATTATGCTGGATCCGTGACTGACCGTCGTTCTACCACTGGTTATTGCATGTTTCTTTGCTGTAACTTGGTGACATGGAGAAGTAAGAAACAAGATGTGGTTGCCAGATCAAGTGCAGAAGCTGAATTTCGAGCTATGGCTCGAGCATTTGTGAGTTACTGTGGCTGAAAATTGTACTTGATGATCTCAAAATAAAATATAAGGGACCTATGAAGCTGCTATGTGATAATAAGTCTGCTATTTGTATAGCTCATAATCCAGTTCAACATGATCGGACTAAACATATTGAGGTCAACCGCCATTTCATCAAAGAGAAACTTGATAGCGGGTTGATTACCACTCCATACATTCCCACTGGGCGTCAATTAGCTGATCTATTGACAAAGGGGCTTCCTTCAGACAGATTTGAAGAACTTACTAGCAAGCTGGGAATGATAAATATCTATTCCTCAGCTTGAGGGGGAGTGTTGTAAATATTATTATTATTTATTCATTTGTTATTTGTTTTATTGGGCTTAGCCCATTAGGTCAAGTATTCTAGGTCTTGTATTCTCTATAAATAGACAAAGGGACTTTCTTCAGACAGATTTCAAGAGCTTACTAGCAAGCTGAGAATGATAAATATCTATTCCTCAGCTTGAGGGGGAGTGTAGTAAATAATAATTATTTAGTTATTATTTAGTCATTTATTTGTTGTATTGGGTCAAGCCCATTAGGTCAAAATTAGGTCAAGTATTCTCTATAAATAGAGAACTCTTTGTACAGATTATACACAATTCTATAATATATTAGAATACTCTTTTTCAAGTAATTGAAAATTTGTTTTCTATTATCTATAATTTTGGTCTGAGTTTTTACCTTGGATAAAAGTACTGAGATAAGATAACTATGAAGGCGATGACACTGATAAACTTGGATCGGGGAAAAACAGTGACTTCAGACTTAAACTTTGTTTTGGTGGAAAAAGACCGGAAAGAAAGTTAGAGGAAAGAAAAACACGGTACCAATTTGGTTCTCACCAGAGTTGAGGCATTGGGGAGTGCAAAAAAGTGATATGTAGTGGTTAGAAAAAACCTGATTGTCTTTTTTATCCTTGTTAAGGTGTAATTTTAATCAATTTGGGATAGACTACTTAAAGTCTATTAAGGCAGTGCGATTGGGTTTTCAAAATGGATATATGATGCTAATAATACTATAAGTGTATCTTTATACCAAAAAAGAAAAGAAAATTCATAGGAGTATTCAAACCCTTTTAAATGTTGAAATAAAATGTATATTGTATCTGCCACAATATATCAACTAATAACACTGATTATTAAGCAGATGGTGTCTAAAGTGAAATTTTGCATAAACTATTTATTTTATTACCTATTTTACTAAGCTCTGTAAAAAGTAAACTTCTATAATTTTCAAGATGTGTTAATTTGAATAAAAGATAGAAACAAAAGTATTGAGGCATACACATTTGGGATGTATTTTCTAATTCATTATTACTTAAATTAAGAAATTTACAATGTATTGATTTTTTTTTCTCTGATTTTCTTCTCACCCAAAAGAATGAAGAAAAATTGCATCCTCTGTATTTTCCACTCTCCTTTTCCTTTCCTTTCTCTTCCTTGTCTCATCAATTGCAGTGTTAGGATTAGCTTTGTGCATATACCTTGACACAATTATTCTACTTAATTCTAATGTCATTTAGCTTTTCTTAATGAGAGCAAAGAAAATAAGGGAAATAAAAACAAGGAATGGAGGAAGAAGAAAATCATTTTCTTGTATCTCAGATTTGATAATCAAATGAAGAGAAAATTTTCAAATTACAAATTCACCCATTAGTTTTTGTTGTGTTTGGGAAGCAGAAATGTATAATTTTGAATACCATACCTAAATCTTCTATTTTTCTCTTCACTTTTTATTGAGTAGAGATTTTTTTTCTGAAATTTAGGTTATATATTTTCATTTTATTTCATTATTCATAAATTCCTTTTTAAAAAGGGGGCGAACCGTAGCAGTGGTAAAACTGTTCCTTCATGACTGAAAGGTCATGGGTTCGAATCCAAGAAACCGCCTCTTTGCAATTAGGCAAGGGTAAGGCTGCGTATAAGGATTTCCTCCACCCCACACTCACTAGTCACTAGTCGGGTTTAACAGAGAGTGGTTTTGGTTTTATTCATAAATTCCTCTTTGTTTCCCAAGCAACGTAATGTGACTTTCTCCTCTATCTTTCTTGTTCCTCCAAAACTATTCCCTCCACCTTCACCCTTTACAAATGAAATTTTGGTTTTGTAAATTTTCTCTTACATACCAAATATTTCACAAGAAATGCATCGATTGAAACAGATGAAACTACATCTTTGATTTTTACCAGAAATTGGACACGTTAGAAATGCATGTTGCTTTATCCTTTAGTTTTTTTAAGATATTCAATCCTTTGCCCATGCTTTGCATTCTATCATTGCAGACAGGAATTCTGTCCAGTTATAATTGTTTCAAAATTATGTATTGTTACAAACAAATTTCATGAAATAGGTTTATAGATATGCTTCGCGTACTATGAAGATTGAGATGAACTTTAAACATGCTTATTAAGTTGAGCATGATTGAAAATACACATTTTTCATTGTAATTTTATATTTTCTTTTTGTAATTTTTGCTATTTTTCTCCTGTCATTTTCCATCCGTGCTTCTCCTTTTGCTATTTATCTGTTCCTTGTTATCGATATCCAGGCATCACATACAAGGGTATCCATCAATTCGTATCTTTCGTAAAGGAAGTGATGTCAGGTAATAATACAGAATTTCTTTTTTTTACGTTTCATTTTTGTGAAATAATCAGTGTGTACTCATCTGCTTATCCTTTTTGGGGTATCGTGTGATTGTTTATTGGCTTGATTATATTGCATTTTCTCATGAGTATGATATTTAGTTTTTTTTTTCTTTTTTATATTTTTTTCCTTTCAAAGACTTAAGATTGAATAATTGTTACAATGTACAAGAGCTCTTTATTTAAAGAGACTAAAAATCCTAATGGGGCTAAGCCCACAAGATGTGGGACTATTATATTATATACACTGATCTATTCTAACAACTATTCTAACACAAAGAATTATGGGAATGATCATAAAATCGTGTCAAGAATGGGAATAGTGATGCAAGTCCAATAGTAAAAACCGAAGCTGTGGATGGATGTAAGGATGCATATATTGGAATAGGTAGATCAGCTTAATGTTTTAAGAAAGATCATATGGGATGAGTCCTGACCTATTAGTAGTAATGAAATGTGAGTTGGGGCTGTCACGGTACTTTCCTCCATGAATTTCCCAGTGAATCAATTTATGTGTAGGCAATGTCCATTCTATTTCAATGTGGTTCTCCCTTGTATTCTATGTATCTCAAATGATTTTCTGCAAAATCTACTTGATCAATATCTGGATATGTTCATTCTGCATATTGTACACCTCTTTGGCGGTTTAGCTTGTGATTGGGTTTTTAAAGTTTTGGATTTCTAATTATATCTAGTCTTTTGGATCTTTTTCCTATTTCAGAAGTGACCATGGACATCATGATCATGAATCCTATTATGGAGATCGTGATACAGATAGCCTAGTCAAGGTAAACATTATATTTGGTTTAAATTAGCGTAGTTTAAGTCAAGGTTAACTTAAAAAGTGTTTAATTCATGCTTTTAAATGTAATTAAACGTCACTGCTTAAAGAGTTCAATATGCCTGAGATGAAATATCTCCACTGCAGACAGCGGAGAATTTAGTGGCATCTATCCCTGCAGAATCTCAGAAGCTAGCTTTGGAGGATAATTCCAGTGTTACAGAGAATATAAAAAGACCAGCACCATCAACAGGGGGATGTAGAATTGAAGGATATGTGCGTGTCAAGAAGGTAAACTCCCATAAGATGATATTAAACTTTTACTGCAATGTAGAAAAACTCCTTTGTTGCTTGCTAGTTTTCAGATGTGAGGATGAACTAAAGTTATTCGCACTGCTCTAGAAATAAAGGATACCAATAAAGGATACCTTTCCAAGCTTATTTTTAAATTGGCTTTTGCTTTTAATAGAATAAGAAATAAGGAATATGGAATGACCTCCTATTCTTTTCTTCTTATTTTTTCATTTTTTTTTTCTTTTTCGGATTTTAAATGTATGCTGAAAGAAGCTGTTTTGCAATCTGCAGGTTCCAGGGAACTTGATCATATCAGCTAGATCCGATGCCCATTCCTTTGATGCTTCTCAAATGAACATGTCCCATTTCATAAACCATTTATCTTTTGGAAGGCACGTGTCACCTAGGGTCATGAGTGATGTGAAGCGTTTGATACCTTACGTTGGTAGCAGCCATGACAGGCTGAATGGTCGGTCATTCATCAATACTCGTGATTTAGGAGCAAATGTTACTGTAAGTCAACACTTTACATAAAAAATTCTAATTTAGTATTTACTTTTTTATTTGAGCATTGACTTTTTATGGCTGGTATCAGCATATTTGATTGTTAGTGGACAAGTTATTGAGTTGCATCTCCAAGAGTAAGATGCGATAAATAGCATGGATGTCCAGGGCCTGATGTAGTTTTGTTTGTATTTTTTATTATATAATACCTTATAGTCCTCTAAATCCTACTTGAAAATAGATACCATATACCATTGCGGCAACATTTTAGGATAATCTTGGGCCTTTCCCCTCTGCCTCGCCCTTCTATATTGATTATAAACCTGAAAAGGATTTAATTAACACCCTTACAGCATGTTTGGGAAACCGTTATTTTTGGGGAAATAATTGCTTATTTTATTTTTTTTCAATTGCTGTCTTAGAAAGTTTTCAATTAAAAGTAGTTTTGGTCCCAAAATAAGCTAATCTTAACACACTTAATTCATATAGAGAATAATTTTGATACATTACAGAGTGCTTCTAGACTTCTACAATAACCAGCACAGAAATCAATAAAAGCTTTGCTCCTTATGCATGTTGAAGTTACCGTCATAAAAAGACCTAACTAACCCTTGAAGCTTCTCAACTGATAGTTTCACTATTTAAAATTTGTGAAATTGTTGGAACTAATTTTGTTAGGGTTATTATTTTCTTGTATGCATTCCTAATCTATGTTTGAAGCACCCAGAAGGGTGACAAATGGAAAGGAAGCAACATGGAGTGGAGGCAATAAAACCATTTAGAAGTTCTCTCATTAGGTGTTAGTCTTCTCCGAGATAATACAACTTCTCACTAATACAAGCTTTTATCATTAATTGACTTTGATGATCATGGTTATATCTTTCCGTATGGATGCTGATAACTACAGAAAGATGAGCATCTCTGGTGCGTGGAGATCTATTGTAGTCAAAATGCTACACATTGACCTGATATCTGTCTCTGCAGATGGAGCACTATCTTCAGATAGTTAAAACAGAGGTGATAACTAGAAAGGATTATAAATTAGTTGAGGAGTATGAGTACACCGCGCACAGCAGTGTGGCACAGAGTTTACATATTCCCGTTGCTAAGTTCCATCTTGAGCTCTCCCCCATGCAGGTCTGCGTATTGAGATTATAGATTTAAATGTGTTTCTGCTTTCATTTTTTATTTCTTGTTGGTTTACTGTGTTTGTTTTTGTCAACAGGTCCTAATAACAGAAAACCAGAAGTCTTTTTCACATTTTATTACAAATGTCTGTGCTATTATTGGGGGTGTTTTCACGGTTTGTACTCAGATATTGTGATTCTATACTTGTATTATCCACCATCTGTATTGTTGACTAGTCTTCTCTTTGGTTTCAGGTAGCTGGAATTATGGACTCGATTCTGCACAACACAATTAGAATAATGAAGAAAGTTGAGCTTGGCAAGAATTTTTGATAGATAGTTGAAAATTTTATCTAGCGCAGGGCTCTTGATTTTGCTAGACCCACTTTATGGAGGTCTTTTGGTAGATTGTTATCTATAGATATGCTATAAAGCACAAAAAATGTAATTTTTTAGTTTTTATTTCGGAAAAATGGTCATTACATGGATTGCGAGCTCCATAAATGATCCTGTATTTGCCTCCACTAAATTTTTGTACTTGTTTATGATTGAGAAAAAAAATGTTGCTATGATATAGGATGATTAATAATTTTGAATGCAAAATTGGAACTGATCGTAACTTTAGTCAGCTTTTTGCATATAATAACATAGGATGGCTTCCTTTAGGATTCATTCTGTTAAATTGCTCTGGGCCATAATAATGTGTTTTCTTAATTCATTCATTGTTTATTTCAGTGTTCCTTGTGACGAATATGGTGAAAATGACCAATTTAATCTGCTTCTACGCCGCGGACATCCGCATTCCCTTTCTAATTCTATGGAAGGAGAAAGGAAGGAATCAAATAAGTGCGGTGATGCTCTCGTTTATTTTTATTTTTCAGAAAGAAACACCTTTTTACTTTGTTGTGTGAGCAAAATGAAGTCGTGAATAGAGCTAGGTCATGGCAAATTTTTTTCGGGGGTGGGGTGGGGTGGGTAAGGCATTAGTCTCAGAGAGGCCTGGTCTTAGGTGGTCCCATAATGGAGCTCGAGAAAGGAGTGCGGATAAGAAAAAAAATTTGAATTGAAAGTATACGTGAAGATTAAGTTTCGATATTCGTATTACAATTTCACAGGCCTCACTAATTCTATTGTTAGTACGGGACAATTGCAATACTCCCTATAAGTTAAGATTTAGTCATATTTTTATAGAAAGAAATATATCTTCAACTTTTCTGTTAATCCTGTGGATAAAATGAATGGGTCTCATTGTAAAGAAAAGAAAGATAATAAATTATTGAGAAAAATGAGAGTATGCCAAAAATTTATAACAAAAATATAAATATTAAACCCATATATATAATATTTAATATTTCTATTTTTTGGCATAAAAGTATATATATTAAGTTCCTCTTAAACTCCGTTGACTCAGCGCTACATTATTTTAGAACTACATCGTTGATTGTTCTCTGCTACTTTATATTATCTTTCATTGTTTTTTTTTTTCTTTAACAGAACTTTCATTATTTTCTGATTTGACTATTGTTAATGGTTGGAGACATGCATTACACAAACTTTTTGGTTACTTAAGAGGTGAGAGCACGTTAGATGGAGAAGGAAAAAGAAGTCCCAATGAAAAATCAAACTTCTAACAGCAACATCACATCCAAGTAAGTTTTTGTGCCCCTTGTAAATTGAGCTACAACCTCATCCGCACATTAACTTCTGTTCCATTATTCGATAACAAATTAAGCACCGAAATTGCAAATGTCTGACATATTTACTGCCTCAATGTTTCATAAATATAGTTTTATTTATTTTCAAGCTCAAAGTGTAGAATATTCCTACACCATCAAGTCAGAAGCACACAAAAGGGTAACATATTGTCAGCTTTTTTCTCAAATACCAAACATTGTACCAACTTTGGACCAAAGACCATGTTCAATAATACCGAACTCAAAGTATAGTAGGAATTCATAAATTAAAAAAAGAAAAAAAATAGTAGAAAATTATACTCAATCACTCATATATATACTCACTCCACTTAGAAAGATAACACCAGAACAGAAGCCATGAATGCTCCAACAGAACCAGCAAAGGTGACCAAGATTGAAGAAGCAGCATTAGGAGGAGGTTCACTAACTGGAGCTGAAGTTGGGTTATTCCCCCCTGTCCCTGTTGGTGGAGATGGAGCTTCTTGCTGAGTAGGTGATGGAGTCTCCACAGTAGGTGCAAGTGGAGATGGAACCTGTTGCAGAACTGGTGCTGGTGCAGGAGCTAATTGCTTTGTTGACAATGAGGGTAAGGGAGAAGGAGTAGGAGAAGGAGAAGCAGTGCTGGTTTGGTTGGTGTTTGAGTTTCTATTGTTCCTTTCAGCCAGCACAATCACCACCAGCTTCTCATTCTTGAGACAGCTATTTTTGTTTCCACTTATGAAAAATTGAGGCCCTGATTTATTGAGTTTGATGACTGTGTGGCCGTCAGAGAATTTTTCAGTATTTGCACCAGTGTTGCAACTGGCATAGTCTTGGCTATTTACTTGAATTACTGAGTCTTGGCCAGAAGGATAATTGAACACTGCAATTGATATATACTCATATGTGTAAATTGAATTGAAATATAAAGTCCACGTTTTTGCTTTATAAAGAAAATCTGAATGATTATATCATTTCACTTATTACGAAGTTTTAACATTCTAGTCAGGCACAACACAATGTTTCCATCCTTTGGTTCACTTATTACAAAGTTTTAATATTCTAGTCAGGCACAACACAATGTTTCCATCCTTTGGTTCACTATTACATTATGCTCCAAAAATTTGACTATATATTTTGTAACAAAATACTTAATTCCATAAATCCAAGTAAAAATATGTCATTTAATTTAGACATAGTTTAAAGCATGCCACTTTTTTTTTATGAAGACATATATAGGATTGAATAAGAACTCACCTAGGGAGTCTCCCATTTGAAATCGGCTCTTCTCTGCCCATTGATTGTAGGGGTTGGAATTGGGGTCACTTGGAACACTCCAACCCTTTTGGCCCCCAACTATGAATTCATAGGCATCACCCTTGTGTACCAATAGCAGGAGACAGAACAAGCCCAAGACTGGAACTACTTCATTAGACCTTAAATTGATGGTAGCCATTGGAGAGAATGAATGAGGAACTGATAAGGTGCAAGTGGTTATTGCAACCAAAATGCTTGAAATGATGAAGCTAGAGGGATGCAATAAACTGGACCATCATCGGGGTTTTTGTAGGTATAAGACCTTAAAAACTGTGGCAGGGAAGCTTTTGAAACTTTTTCTTATTCTCTCCTCTCTTTGGGTTTACTTTGATTCCGGTGCAAAGCATAAGTTCTATTTCATTGTTAAGAGTATGAGTCTTTGAATCTTTCATCTTTCATGTAATAAATAACTTCATGCCTTTGGTTTATAAACGTTTTTTTTTTTTTTGTAAATAAAAAATTTAAGGATAGCCAATTAAGATTATGTCGTTTCAATGTTTAAATATGTTACTAGCCTCGACGAAGATGACCTTCTAATGTCTCAGAGAAGCTTTTCCAACTTCTAGCCGTTACTGGAATACTAATATAATGCTTTTATCTTGGCAGCAATGGTGATTAATGATGTGTCGCCATTCTTTTATGGTGCCTCCTATACGTGGTAGATTAACACTATGCAAGCATTTTTCTATGCCATGCTCGAACACTTTCAAGTTTCAACCAACCTTGTTTATTATCTCTTCGTAAATTTCATGGACCTTTTTCATTGATGTGAATTTTTAACGTAAGATCCACTCCACTCCCCTCAAACATAACGTCTTAGTCCATATTTCTCATAATTACATCAATCATAAATTTGAATTAATAATATTTTGCTAAACCATTCTATTTGGGCTACTCTATTTACTCAAAGTAGTCCTCTAAATACGTAGTCCGCCTTCTAATGCGTTTGGGCTTGTTGCTAACCGGTTCAGAGGCTTTGGGCTGCAACAGTCTCCCCATTGTTTGGCTATAAGGGTAATTTCCTTTTTTTTAATATAAAAAGTTTAAAGTGGGGTTACCGGTATCCAATGTAGTCAAGATCGAGTTTTTACGTACATGTAACATCCCGGGCATTGATGAGGGTGGGGAGTGACCGCCAATACGAAATGGCATGGACAAGGAGAGGCTCCTGGCAAGCTCCAACGACGAGGGTATATGAATGAATCGAATCAACGCCTGAAAGAGAGGGATTCGAGAGACTGTGCTGGTATGAGACGGTACAGTTGGGAATAGCTTATAAGAATTAATTGGTACTACTTATACTAACAAGATGCATATACTTTTCGGTAGCCCGGAACAGAAGAACTCCATAGTTAAGTATGCTTGACTTGGGGCAATTATGGGATGTGTGACCTTCTGGGAAGTTTTTTCGGGAAGTGTGCGAGTGAGGACAAAGCACGCTGAAAAGCCTCGTGTTAGTGTGTGGGGATAGTCGTTGATCCTTGCAAGTTGCCAGGCGTTACAAGTGGTATCCTGCAGAGCCTCTCTTCTAGTACGGTGTGGTTCGAGGACGAACCAGGCGGAAGCTGGTGGGCATGTAACATCCTGGGCGCTGACGAGGGTGGGGAGTGATCCCTGATGCGAAAGGGCATGGATAAGGAGCGGCTCCTGGCATGCTTCCAGCGATGGGGTACATGAATGAATCGAATCAACACCCGAAAAAGAGGGATTCCAGAGACTGTGCTGGTATGGGACGGTACAGTTGGGAATAGCCTATAAGAATTAATTGGTACTACCTATACTAACAAGATGCATCTACTTTTCGGTAGCCCGGAACAGAAGAACTCTATAGTTAAGCGTGCTTGACTTGGGGAAATTATGGAATGGGTGACCTCCTGGGAAGTTTTTCCGGGAAGTGTGCGAGTGAGAACAAAGCACGCTGAAAAGTCTCGTGTTAGTGTGTGGGGATAGTCGTTGATCCTTACAAGTTGTCAGGCATTACAAAGGGGGTGGTAGAAACCTAAATCACAGAAACGAGACAAAACTTAAAGTTTTTACTACTTAAGGTTAAGATACAAAATTATATATATATATATATATATATATATATATATATATATATATATATATATATATATATATATATATATATATATATATATATATATATATATATATATGCATGTAAAAAAAAATTCACATAAGTCACTACTTAAAATTTAATAAATAACTCCATATTTAAAAGATATAAGTCACATAACTATATAAGATATAAGTCCAAAATATTAAAAGAGAAAATTGAATTAAAAAAAATAGAAAATAGGTTTTTTTAAAAATAAAAAATAAAAAAATTTGAGTTTAAGTAAAGGGAAATTATACTTTTATGTTACATAAGATTCATCTCTCATGTTACACTCACATAAAAAGATGTGCCTTGCTTTTTTTTCTTTTTTTCTTTTTTTTTTTAAAATTGATGGACCCCACTTAATTTATCTCACAACATAAGATAAGCCCTTAAGTAAAAAAGATAAAAAAAATGCAAAAACAGAAATTTCTACCCGTTTTTTTACAACAATGCCGATATCCTATTAGAATCACGGAAAGATCTCTCAACTTTTAGAAATATTTCTAGGAGAAATTACATATCACCCACCAATAAAATTCTTATATCAAAAAGCTGAATTTGAACTCATGTCCTTGTGGAATATGGACCAAACTCTTAACCAACATGTATCCCCGTTAATTAATTTCTTTTCGAAGGTAAGTATTTGATTTGAGTAAGATATATTTTTGGAGAGATTTAGACCTTTATATTACATGTAAAATTGGACCATATAAAATTAAATACGTGACCTGAACTGCACGGCATGTTCATTGAATGCTCAGTCTGTTACCGCGTAAAAGCTTGGTCAGCAGACTCTTGCTCAAGACCAAGTCTCAGGGTGATTTTTTACCTAACAAAAATATCAAATGATACTCCAATAATTGCAATTGCAAATTACATAATAAGAAAGTAAACTAAAAAGGTATTTTTGGTAAGAGATTGTGGTTGACTAAATATACGATTCAGTCATAAAAAAATATTATTTATATGCGAAATAATAATCTCGTATTGTAAGAGATTAGTATCTTATGTTATAGACACAAATCATGTGAGACTCACTTATTTATTTTTATTTTTTAAAAAGTAGACTTCACATACTTTGTTTCTATGACATAAGATACTAATATCCTATAATATGATACTAGTATTTCTCTATTTGTATTGTTCGAAAAGGTATGTAACGACAAAAAATTAGTTTATGAATGAACCAATGTGGTCCAAGTTCATTTTTCATAAACCAATGTGTATAGATGAAAATTTTCTTAGACAAAAACAACACAAATTACATCTTTCATAGACCTATCAACGCAGCAAGAATGGGGTCCAAGTTCTTCACCACGTTTTGTATAGATGCTAAAATACTATTTATAACCTGATGACCCAAATCCATCCAACCTAAAATCACGGGGTTGATTCATGGGATTGATTCGGTTTGGATCGAACAAGATAATTATGGTTTAATCGAATCTTACCTCACTTGTTCCCATATTTCGGTTTCAATGTTTTTATTTTATTTTTTATTTTTCAAGGAAGAAATTGTATATTTATTTATTTATTTTCTTTTACAATAAGAAATACCAACTAAAAAAAACCTACACGCGCGCACAGGTTACATAACAAAAACCGGTAAAAGAAAGTTAAAAAAACAAAAACAAAAACAAAAACCAAACAGAGAAAAACACAAGTTAGTATTAATTACTAACTTACTCAAACATCATCATCACTACTTCACCATCAATCAACCCTACCCCACAACGCTATATCTTCTAACTAATAACCAAACAAAAAATAAAAAACTAGTTTTTGGGTTCTATGTAGTTTTTTTTTTTTTTTTGGAGCTGGGTCCCCTTTGAATTCTTCAGTTGACAAGTTTTTGTTGCTGGGTTTGCTTGATCTGTTAAAAGGGGTCCAGCTCCTGTGTGCTGGCAAGGATTATTGATACCAAAAATCATTGCTTTTTCTTTCACTGTGTTTTTTTTTACCTGAGAGTTCTTTTGTTTGTTTGGGATGTGGAGAGATCCAGGAGTTCCAGCTGACACTTTCTATGAAACTCGCCCCGAGTGCACTGATGTTCCCATTACTCGATTTAAGATCAAGGTCTGTTTTTTTCCCCATTTTTTTTTGGATTTAATATATATTTGTTTGGTATTGAGTATCTTAATCTGGGTATCTTTGATCATTGGTGAATAAGAAGTATTGGGTTGATGGAAATTGGTGTTGGATTTTTATGAGCAATGCATGTCAATATGAATTTAAAATCAGTTAAGTGAATACATTTGGCCATTTAAGAATGTCATAGTTTAAATGTGTGTGTGTGTGTGTCTATATATATATATATATATATTTAAACTTTTGTTCATTTGGGGGATAGCTTGTGATTTCAAATAATTGAAAATCATACATGAGGGTAAATGTGTTAAATGGGTTGTTGACTTTCACAGAGTTGTCAGCAATGGTTTTGATGATGGGATTTTATCAAAAGGAAAAAAGTTTTGATTGTAGCTTTTAGGATAGTTTATCTTTTGCTTGTTATGAATTTTAAATTCAGTGATATCAAGTATCATTTTAATCAATGAAATTTGATTAAGTGACTGGAATTTATTATACAGAAATGACCATATCAAAAATGCAAAGTTGAACGTAAATGTTATTGATTATATGATTGTCCCCAGTTTTATAGATACAACCTGATTCTTATGCTAGTTTTATGAATTGGGGGCTCTTAATGAGTTAAATCATCAAGTGAAACTTGATTAAGTGAAACTCTAGACGTGTTCAGATTTCTATTTCACCATTATAAGCAGCATATGGAGTGGTTATTAATTGTTAGATTAGTTTAAACTTTTAAGAGAATTAAATCTGAGTATGGATAAAATACAATTGGTAATTTATGACGGATCATTACTAATACCAAATGAGTCCTTGTTGGGTTTTTATCTTGTAAGACATTCAATAACATAAATCAATTAGATGATTCTGCACCTTAATACAAAAATTATATGCCTTCAGCTGAGAATTTTTACATTTAATTGGATTGCCAATCTTGGATTTTTAACTTTTTTTATTACGTGGTGCAGGCTGGTAAAACACTAAGCTCAAGAAAATGGCATGCTGCATTTACTCAAGAAGGATATCTAGATATAGGAAAGACTCTAAGCCGAATATACCGAGGGGTAATTGCTTTTTTTATTGTTAAAATGTTGGTTCAATATGTTTGAGGATATTGAATTAAGTCTGTCTCCTACTTTAAGTACTTTGTAGTCAGGTGCAATGGGGTACTCTAGTTTGTTGGAAAAACCTGAGGGAATCTGTCTTATGATATAATATGGGTGGAATTAACTCTTGGAATATAACTGAACTTGATTTTTATGGGTCTTATTTGGCTCTCTTTGGAACATGAGATCCTAATACCATGGTTGGAAATCGCAGTGCATACAGACAACTAAGTATCAGTAATAAATCAGACTGGCCAAGTTCCAGGGAGTTGCAGATTTCAATATATCGTTGACTGGGATTAGATTGAAAGTCCTTTTTCCACGCATTTCAATATTTCTTACACATTCTTCCTTTTTTTCATACTTATTTTTTCAGAAAAATACGTGTTTCTTTTGTTTTAATACTTAAACCTCTTGTAAGACTCATCATAGGCTGAAAGTGGTGAGCGGGTTAGTTAGTTTGTTAGGAAAATCTTCTAGAATATTCTTAGAGGGAATAAAAGGAGAGGGAATGTGTGGAATGGGACAGGCATGAATTCAGTATTGGTTTAGTGTGGAATTTGGGATCTCTTAGAGTCTAGGTTGTTGATTCTAAGGGTGAGCTTGGGAGGTCCTTTTACTTGTAATTTTCTTTGTTATTTCTACTGTATATCAGTGTTGTTGGTGATTATTACTGTAGTTTGCATCTTTTCCTTGTCTTAGAACAATCTTGTAGGAGTTTATCTCCATTCTTTCATATCAATATAATACTGGTTCCATCATATTGTAGTGAGTATTATCATAAGAAAACTACTGCAGAACATTTCTTTTTAATCTATGAATAATGAGGAAGGAAAGGAAATTGTTGTTCACTTTAGATCTCCTTTTTGTTTTTCAGATGATGACTTTTGTCCATTAATAATTTCTGGTCTAATGTTCATTTTCTATGCTAGTTCCATTGCATATATATGTACACATATAAATATGTGCTCATTCATAAATGACTGATGATAGTCGTGTAAAGCTCTCCTATTGATTTATTTTATTCATATTTAATCTTATTCTTCATGATCTTGAGTAATGCATGTGATGTGCTGATCATATTATTGGTTTTCCATGCCTCTAAAAATTATTGAAGATTATGGTTTGCTTATGTGCATGAGTGCAAAAAGATAAGTAATTGTCTGTGTGTATATGTGGCTGTGGGTTGATGGTTAGTTTATTAAAATTTTCAATCCAGGGAGTCCATCCATCAATTAGGGGAGAAGTTTGGGAATTTCTACTTGGTTGTTATGATCCCAAGAGTACATTTGAGGAAAGAGATCAGATAAGACAGCGACGGAGGTAATTGTTTTTCCCATTTAATAATTATGTTTGGTAAGAATCCTCTTTTTTCACCCTTGTTACCACCACGGCAACCTAGAACAGTTAAAATTTTACGATTCTGCACTTCTCTGTTGCTTGGTCTTCCTTTTTAAATAAAATTACAGTATATATAATATGTCACCACAGGCTTGATATGCCTTAAGAAATACAGTAAGAATTGCTTCCACATCATTTATACAGGGATAATACAGAATACTTTTTGTAATTTAAAACTGCTGTTTCTGAATTCTAAATCTAATAGATTGTTAGTTGAGTATCACTTCTATGTTTATTTTGTCAGTATGCAATATGCCACATGGAAGGAAGAATGCCGCCAATTGTTTCCACTCGTTGGAAGTGGTAGATTTATTACATCACCTGTAATATCTGAAGATGGTCAGCCAATTCAAGATCCATTGATTATGCCAGAAACAAATCCAGCCAAAGGATTGGTTGTGAATAGTTTAGATGCTGCAAATAATTTAGAAAAGGTGACAGACAAGAGAGTAGTCCAGTGGATGTTAACTCTCCATCAAATAGGTTTGTGAATAGTTTGTTTTCAATGCACTCTCTCCATTATATGTTATTTATTTTTTAGACAAATATATTCCGAGTTTTAGACAGAACCCTGACTGCAATTATTTTCTTCATAAATCCATTATGCCTAAAATGCATTATTGTATGTATGGGACTTGGAGTCCCACATTGGTTGTATGGTCAACTAATGTGGGGTTTATAAGGCCTTGGGCATTCCCACCCTTTGAGCTAGCTTTTGGGGTGGTGCATCTCAAGGTCTCATCAAATGGTATCAGAGCATCCATCATGTGGAGTTGTGCGTGGGGGCACGCACTAGGGAAGCATGGTGGAATGTTGGGATTCCATTTGCAAGGTATGGGACTTGGAGTCCCACATTGGTTGTATGGGCAACTAATGTGGGGTTTATAAGACCTTGGGTACTCCCACCCTTTGAGCTAGCTTTTGGGGTGGTGCATCTCAAGGTCTCATCATTGTACAAATGCAATTTGATTTATACAGCATGAATTAAATGGCTTTGATTTCCTTAAATGGGTAAGAATGCTTATCTTTTGAAGTTTTTCTCATGTAGTAATAAGATACAATCCTATCAACATAATATAATTCACACGGTGAATGACCCTATTCTTGTACATAATATATTTCAGGTCTTGATGTGGTTCGCACTGATAGGACATTAGTTTTTTATGAGAAGCAAGAAAATTTGTCAAAACTATGGGATATTCTTGCTGTTTATGCTTGGATCGATAAAGATGTTGGCTACGGTCAAGGTGGGTTTTTTACACAAATGATCCATTTGAATCTTACATATTTTTCCTCTTTTGGACATAGGCCGGTACTATATTTAGTAATCCTATTAAATTTTGAGATCTTGCTTCACTACATATGATAATTCCATGTAACTAGTTTACATTGTTCTATGATATATTTGACTAGTTGTTGACCCTAATGTTTACCTCAACAACCAAACAACATTTTTAGATTATTTAATTTTGATACCTTGTTATGTTCAAGTATTTTGGGCTTTTGAAAGATCATAACAGTTCCTTCATGTGTATTTTGTCAACATTTTTAAACGGTCTGTCAAATTCGGACCTCTATACTGATTTCCATTGAAGGAAAAAAGTGAACCTAGTAGACAAATCTGAACAGCTCGTGGGTTTCTTTGTGGAAAAAAAGAATATAAGATATATGGGACATACTCATTTATGTATTAGTTTTACTTCTATTTTTCTTGCAACCTTGCAAGAAATACTTGCAACCACCATTTGCAATTAATCTAAGCTTCCGGTTTTAACATTTTACAATTCTGTACAGGAATGAGTGACCTATGCTCCCCTATGATAATTCTACTTGATGATGAAGCAGATGCATTTTGGTGCTTTGAGCGTCTGATGCGCAGACTTGTAAACATCTTATCTCTATGCTCTACTTTATTATTATCTTACTTTTAGTACATTTTTTATGCAAATATTTCTTGAAAAGATGAAAAAAACATTCAATAAAAAGTTCCGGTGTTTGGTTATTGGATTTTCCCTCATAAGGGTACAGGGCTTTTAGAGGATCAAGTACTGTAATTTGTGCTGTAGGTTTTTCTATGAAAAGTTGTATTCCTAATTTGCTTCATCCTGATCGTTCACTTTTAGATATTATCTATTGTTTAAGTAGCACAATGCATATAGGCTTCTTAAAACCTGGGCTTGAGTTCTTAGAGGTTTGACTCTAATGTTTTAATTGTGCTGTTTCAGAAAGTATTATTCAGATAAAACACTTCTTCCACTTCTTCTTTTCTTCATTAACATATTCAGTACCATTATCTGTTCTTAGTCTCTTGATATTTTTACCAAATTGGGTCTCAACCATTTTATAAAATTGAAAGAGCAGATGTGGTACCTCAGACTTTTCACACATTAAGTAAACTCAAGTTACACGAGTGCAATCATCAATAAAAGAAACAAACCATCTATTTCCAGAAGCATGAGGGACTTCAGAAGGACCCCAAACATCAGAATGAATAAGATCAAAAGGTTCAACACTCTTAGTACTACTAGAAGGAAAACACACACGATGATGCTTAGCAAACTCACAAACATCACAATGAAAAGACTCAACAGACTTAGACAAAAACAATGATGGAAATAAAGACTTGAGTAAACTAAAAGGAGGATGTCCCAAACGCTTATGATAAAGCCAAATCAAAGAATCAGCAGTTGATTGACCATGAGACATGAAGATGTGATCTGTTACTTTATTTTCGGGAGATTGTGACACCAGTTAGTACAGCCCACCTTACTCTTTAGACCAATCGTCTTCCCCGTGGCGAGATCCTGAAAAACACAATGGGTAGGGAAGAAGGTTACAGTACAATTCAAATCTTTTGTAATTTTATGAATAGAAAGAAGATTCGTGGAGAGTTTAGGAACATGAAGAGCATCTTTAAGATGTAAGGACTGCTGTAAGTTTATGTCACCAGAACCCGCAACTGATGTATGTGAGCCATCAGCTATGGCTATTGTATGGGTTCCAATGGTAGGATGATAAGAAGTAAAGGAGTCAGCACAACAAGCCATATGATCAGTAGCACTAGAATCAACAACCCAAGAATATTTAAAATCATTACATGAAGAAAGGAAAGAATGAGTTTTGGAGCTCATACCAGTCATAGCCAAAGCACTAGTATCAGATGGCTTACTCAGATAATCAAGGATGGTTCGGAGCCGTTCCAATTCATCTGGACGAAATGCAGGTTGGGTCTCATTAGGTGCAGGGGTTATTTCAGAGGAAGTAAAATGCGCTTGACCACGCATCCTTGCCATCTTTTCTAAGACAGTTTGCTTTCCATGGAGGCGAAAGCATAAATCCTTGATATGACTACGAACACCATCGATCATCTCTCTTAGGTCTAGAAGATGCACCACCATAAAACTTTGTAAAGGAAATCCTTTGAGAAGAGGACATACTGCACAAAAACAGTCAACGAAAAAGCTCCAAGAAGCCAAAAAATTCGGAAAAAATACCAAACGAAGTCCGATCAAAGAGGTGAGCACAAATCCAGAACGAGCGTGGAGAGACGATCAGGACTGCAGTGGTCCGACCACGAGAACCGCCGTAACGCGCCATCACGCGCCGGAGAAGCTGGCGGCACGTGGGCTTCACGCGCAGGGAGAATGGAGGCGCGTCTGACGTTCGATGACCTTGGGCTTTTCAGAGCGGCGTTGTCCGGCAAGCGCGGCTGGGTCTGTGGCTGGTCGGAGTAAAAAATCCACCGGAAAAGGGTCCAAATCGCGATGAACAGGTTCTGTGTCCGATGGTTTTAGTGTTCTTCGATGTTTTGTTACTGTGTTCTCTGTGCGAGACAAGAAAAAACAAAAGAAAAGGAAGAGGAACAATGGTGTGGAAGTGGTCTTCTCGGTCCAAGAGGTCCTCGGAAAAAAATTTCGGTGGCGGCTGATGGCAGCGAGAGACGAAAAAAAATAAAATAAAAGGTTTCGTAGGCGCGGAAGCAGAGCCCTCAGGATCGAGAGCTCTGATACCAACTTGAAAGAAAAGGGTATTTGAAATATTATTGAGTTGTGTTTTAATCTGATACAAAGAGGTCTCTATTTATAGAGACTAAAAAACCTAATTCTTGACCTAATGGGCTTGGCTCAATACAACAAATACTAATAATAATAAAAGACCTAATATTTACAACATTATTATCTTACTTTTAGCACATTTTTTCTATGATTGAAATAGCGCCGCTTTAGCGCGCTATACCGCTTCAGTTGCGTGTTGCGGCACCCAACCGCTATTTTCGCACCGCGACGCGACGGTTTCCGGTAGCGGTCAGTAGCGGCCGGTTGCGGCGGTGGCGGACGGAAGCTCTTGCGGCGCTACTGCGCCGCTACAGGGAATTGAAGAGAAGTTACAGACATTCAGGGAGAAAAAGAAATGTAAAACGCACGGGTGGCAGCATTTTGTAAATTTGAGTATCATTTAAGGGTTTAATAGGAAAAGGCCAGAATAAGTGAGGGGTAAAATAGATATTTTAGTTGAAAAGCCAGCGATTTTTTTGGGTAATGTTATCACCTTCCTTTTTCTTTATTGATTTTGCTGCCAGCTTTTGGGTAATGTGTCCGTTGCAGTGCTTGGTTTGACAAAATTTAAGAATGCTACTAAATACATAATTAAAAAAAAGAAATAATGCGAAGAAGTCAAGAGAAAAAGCTGTAGGTGATGCTGCAGGCTGCAGCTATTATTCAGATTCTTGGAAACTGAGTTTTGACAGCTCCTTCTCCTAGTTCATTGCATCATTACCCCTATTCTCCTCTTTCCTATTTTTATTTAAAATCATAATAACAATAATTTCAAGTCCCATTATTTTTCTATCCACCAATTCACATTTTAATCAAATATATTTATTTTTAATAATCAAGATTTATATTATATACTTTAAATAAATTATAATTTTTGCATGATCTTATAATGTAATATAAAAATAATTTGTTACCATTATATATATATAATATAAAATTTATATTTTATATTAAAATAGAAAATTATAAAATTATTATTGTTGATTTATTCATTAATATTTAGAATTTCTCTCACATAAAATAAATCATATTAAATAATATATGAGATAATTGATCTTTTGAAGTAATAAGAATGACCTTAAAAAAATGTGTTTGGCTGTATTGTTATTAATTTAGTTACTTTATGTTCCTTGAATCTTTCTTTTGAATGTGTAGTATTATATTTTCCATTCCTCATCTCCTCCTATTTTGGGTGATTTCTTTTCTTATAGAAGTTATATAATATTTATATGTGGTATAATTTATTATAAGTAAATATGGACTTCACAGTAGCGGCTTTACCGCTACCCGCTATACCGCTATAGCGTTTTGGGGGTCGGCCGCTACTGACCGCTACCCGCTATTTAAAACTATGCATTTTTTATGCAAATATTTCTTGAAAAGATGAAAAAAACATTCAATAAAAAGTTCTGGTGTTTTTTTATTGGATTTTCCCTCATAAGGGTACAGGGCTTTTAGAGGATCAAGTACTGTAATTTGTGCTGTAGGTTTTTCTATGAAAAGTTGTATTCCTAATTTGCTTCATCCTGATCGTTCACTTTTAGATATTATCTATTGTTTAAGTAGCACAATGCATATAGGCTTCTTAAAACCTGGGCTTGAGTTCTTAGAGGTTTGACTCTAATGTCCTAATTGTGCTGTTTCAGAAATCCATGTGTTATGATATTAAAAATGGAAACCAGTTGTTATCAAAAAAAAAAAAATGGAAACCAGTTACAGTCTCCTTTTTTTTATAATTTTAATCTTTTTTTTATGTCTATTCTTCCCTTGTTTACTTGTCTTATGCATACTTGGTCATATATTTGTGTTACAAAACTATGCCATTTCGCCATGAACAATTGGAATTGTCCCAAATTTGAAAGATGGACTTACTTTTATAAAATTATAATTGAGCTTCAAGGTTTGCAGATATCAACTTGGAATTCTATGATGTATTTGTATATGTTAGAGATGTGATAAAACCCTTCATTATCCTACAGTTAGCGAGTTAAACTTTTAGGAGAGTTGGTTATTGATATGGTATCAGAACCTCTATGACTACATGGATAAGAGTTCAATCATTGACATTCTCATTCTTCTAAATAAAAGTTCAATTTCAGTACATGGTAAAAGAATGGGCAAGTGCATTGCCCATGCTTGAAGCCCGAAGGTGTCTTGCATGATAAGGAGTTTTAGGGCTGTAATAAAATCTTTCATGAGCCTTTACCTAACGACTTAATCTTTTAGGAGAGTCGATATTGATAATAGCTCCCTGAAATTATATTTAAGAAGTGGGTTCACAAGCATTCCATGCAAACAGTAAAATTTACGATTTATAGCTATGACCTTTTTGGTAGACACTACAAATTTTATTAGTGGTACTTCATTCAACTTTATCTCAGTTTCTTATGATCTGTGTGTTTGAATTTTTAAAGCGAGGCAATTTCAGATGCACCAATGGCTCTGTTGGGGTGGAGGTTCAACTAAGTAATTTGGCTTCGATTACTCAAGTAATTGATCCCAAACTACATAAACATTTAGGTATTTTCTTGCATATGTGCTTTTGTATTTTATTTATGGTCAAATATGGAGTAGAATTTTCTAACTCCAATTGTGTGGATTTTGTGTGATTGTTGTTTTTAAGAAATGATGATTGCAAGAAAATATTGATGAGAATTATTTGTTATGATTTCAGTTGTATTGTCATTCAAAATTGTTGAATAAAATCCCTCCTCTGTTTTTATTTTTAAAAAATTTAATTTTGTTACCATTGTTCGCAAATAAGTTTAAAAATGGAAAGTAACAATGTGCTGTTTTTTAATTTTGGAGCACAGAACATCTTGGTGGAGGTGACTATCTGTTTGCTTTTCGGATGCTAATGGTTCTGTTTCGACGAGAATTCTCCTTTTGTGATTCATTGTACCTTTGGGAGGTATGTTTGGCTTCTTTTGTACTTTGTGATATGTTATATTACATTTATTGAACAAAGGAACATTAAGTTGATTTCCGCATATAACACGTGCCCTCAGTATGATATGATTTCCAACTTTTGCTTTGTCATAACTCATTATTCTTTCAGACTGTTCTTGATGGTTTTCGCTTGATGTTTATACCTCGGTGTAATGATTATTTTTCCATGAAAGCAGTTTATGGAGTCATGATTCCTTTTTTTGAAGATTTGGGAATGGATATCTCGGGAATCTTTGTAAAATGATGATTGGTAACAAATTACTTGAAATTTTAACAGATGATGTGGGCTCTAGAATATGATCCTGATTTGTTCTTGATGTATGAAGAGCCTCATTCAGCTTCTGAAAAAGCTGAGGGCACCAGAGGAAAAGCAAAGTCAATACGTCAATGTGGAAAGTTTGAGAGACAAAATATGAAAAATGGAGCAAATACTGCTGGAGCTCCTCTTCCTATATCTGTTTTCCTTGTTGCTAGTGTGTTGAAAGAAAAAAAAGCAAAACTACTCCACGAAGCTCGGGGCTTGGATGATGTTGTTAAGGTTAGTTTTGTGACATCTAAGTTTAGATTGCACTAAATTAGTTGGAGCTATCACTTTGGTACGAAATTAACAAAAGAAATGAAATACTTTTTTCCCTATTTGATGAACAAGCTTTATAATATGTAGTGTTAATTCATTTATTTCATAATGATAGTTGTGCCTTAAGACTTTATATATTTTATTAAAAAAAAAAAAGACTTGTTATATTCTTCAACAAATTTTGTTATCCTTTTTTGTATCTATTAACTTCCTTCTTTGCTCCTGTGACATAATTCTTTTCAGATATTGAATGACATAACTGGAAGTCTAGATGCCAGAAAAGCTTGCACTGGGGCTATGAAACTTCACAAGAAATATTTGAGAAAGGTATTTTCTCTACAACTTTTTTTCCCTTCTTTTCATATATTCATATTTTGACAGTAAACCCGACTAGCGAGGGTAGGGGTGGAGTAGTTCTTTATACATAGTCTTACCCTTGCATATATGCAAAGATATTGTTTCTCAAATTTGAACCCATTACCTTTTTATATCACAAATAATCAGTTTTACCATTATTTCAAACTCACCCTCTTTCATATTTCCATATTCTGGGTGGAAAATCAAACTACGCTATAGACAGCGATTGATCATATGATATAACCCTAGCGTCAGTGTTAAATTTGAAAATCAATGGCCATGATCAATTGTATCGTTATATCCTTCAAAGAAAAAATTACTGCTACTTTAAAATGTCGTCTGGCATGTCATTACTCATTAGGTAATCATTTTTGGTAACAAAATGTGTGACATCTCCCACTATTATGGTGAGCACTGCCTGTATCTCCCTTGCATGTATTGTTTCTTGATTTTATTTATTTATTTATTTAATGTGTGTGTGTGTGTATTCTTATTCTATTTTCTTGTTTCCTATATAATTTCATTATCTCCTAACTAATACAAGTAATTTTGTAATTGCTGCAGGCCAAGAAAGCCTAGCACCAAATATATCCAATGATTTTTTTTTTGGGGGGGGGGGGGGGGGCTGGTCAAGTGTTGTGTTGCTTCCTGCACACTACCATGTTTTTCCCTGGAAGACAATAATGGAGTCCATCAAATTTGAACTTGAGTTTACTGAATTGAAAAAGGGGGATCCAAGTATCCAACCATCAAATTCCCTGAGAGACCACTGTTGTATGTGAAATTAATTTCATTTTTTTTTTTTGTGCATTCAAAAGAACAAGTGAGATTGTAAATTGACAAGGAATTATTTTGTACAACTATCTATTTGTACTTTTTGATATATTTGTTATTGTAAAAGGGAAAATAAAAGTACAGGAAACAGCCATCCGTGCCAATGAAATTGATTATGATCTTCATATCTATTTCTTGCCTTCTATATCAGTTTCTTTCTAATAGTTAAAGTGATCTTGTTGGAGACCATTGAATGGTCAAGTGAATAAAGATGTATTTAAAATCTAGCAAGAAAGAAAAACAAATTCCCTTTGACGAGTCCTACGAAAGAGGGATTATTATTAACTCAAATAAACTCCATTGATCAAATAAGAAAACTAAAAAGTATGTTATATTGAACAAGGTGTTGTATTAGTTTCATCGCATAATCAAGGTGCCTCGTTATATTAACTTAATTGACAGTTTATTTTATCCTTACATTCAAATCCAATGTTACATTCCTTTGGATGAATACTTATTATTTGCAATTTCTTCTTTTGGTTGATACTTTTTTTTTTCAATTTCATAAAATTCAATTCATGCTTAATCTTTAATAGCACTAATGAAATTGTTGGCCAAGAGTAGGTTATCACCAAATATTTTAATAAGATGTTAAGATGGTCTTGCTTGAAACGGTTGTGATGTGGTTTCTTGGTCTTACAGATAGAGGTTGAGGATCGTTGAAGAGACTTTTCTATGTGCACTGATGGGCAAAGGAGGTGATGCACCTATAAGAACTCAAGATAGTTAACTTAATAAATGATTGAGACAAAATATGCAAATTAGATAAGATGCATACTTGAGGATGAAGCTCGTATTTATAGGTGGTAAGTGTTGCCCTATGGTGCAATAATGGGGCGTTGATAAGGGTGTTGTATACTTGTATTAGAGTGGATTTGGTGCTTGATTTGTAACCATTGATATCGTACGTAATGTTTACCTCGGTGCCAAAATTTATGGATTTATTATTTTTCCTGTTACACGAGAAAAATTCATGAATTTATTATTTCTCGTGTTATATGAGATAATTTATCTACTTTGACTTCAAAATAATTCGGATAAAAAAAATTGTAATTTTAATTTATTTTGAAGTTATAGTAATTTTTTATCATAGCAAATTTTTTCCATAACCTTAAAACAACGTCATTTTGAGTTTACAATAAATAATAAAGAAATACAATTATATACCATGATAGGAGAAACTATAAACCTGTAACCTTAAATGTCATCTTTCTATTAAAAAAAAATTTCACTTGAAATCTTAAATTATGTTTATGTTGCCCTTTTCCATAATGTAACCTTAAATATTTTCCATGTTTTTCTTATGAGTCGTCCAAGAGGGAGAACAATGTTCAGATAGAAGCTCTTATGACTTATGAGCATTGGTCCCCCTCCCCTAAGTAATCTCAAATTCAAATCACATGATCAAATCAGTGACAAGATTTTGATGACAGTTAGAGAATGAGCCTATCAATCAAAAGTTTGACACTATGTTTGAGAAACGTATCAAAAACCAATAATCCTTACACTAGAGTAAGGTAGGTCAGACAAAAAGGCCATCTAATTTTGTAATATGAACTAGATATGTACTGAACTTATAAGTTCCACACACAATCTTGTACCAGATATTACACTGTTATGTACTTTTACACAAACACGCTGCTTCACTCATCACATGGTCAATTCATATGCAAAGTTAGCTATCTGCCCCTATAGGCACACCCCCTCCTTGATGAGACTGATATATGAGAACAGCCCTGAAGGGAGAAAAAAACACAAAGCTTTTTAATGCAGATCATTACCAAAGCCAAAGTCTCTCTTGGACAAAATGTTAGTATTGATAGTAAGTTAATAAACTCGATCTGTCATCAAGAAGAAAGTCATAAATGCTGTGAAAATGACTGCAAGGACATTGATGGAAGATTGATGCCCTGAACTTTTGGCAGGTCTAAATGGAGGAAGTGCACACTCTTCTCCATTGAAGAACACCTTAGTGGGGAAAGCATCACGTGTAACATCAAAGTTTTTTATGTGCTTCTTCTTGAAAGAAATCACAGATTGTTGCTTCCCAGGCACCCTTGGATCATCATCATGTGTTCCATTGGTCTCTCCAGCCAAGTAATTCGAACCCTTTAGGCCTTGGAAGAAGATGGTTTTGATTCCTGGAATCCTTGTCCCATTGAAGGAATACACTTGATCAAAATCTTCAAAAGACCTATTAAACTTAAGGGCAGCGAACCAATCATCAAAGGAAAAATCTTCCCAATTGAAAAGTGTGATCCTAGCCGTCCATCCTTCTTTGTGATCAGAGCTAACATGCCAGTTAATGCTAACAGGACAGTTATCTCCACAAGGCATTTTATTTGGTACATGCAAGTGTTTGAGTTTTGCCCAAGCACGTGCCTTTATGGTTCTGTTTTCAAAAGGGACAAGAAGAGCTTCTGGTGGTAGAAGCATTTGAGAGGCCTTGGAGTTACACTTCCTTGTATCATCACAACCACCACAAGCACATGTGTTACAAGGGATGGCAGATTCATTATAGAATGCTGAGAATGAGACACAACAACGATTTTGCTGAGGCTTTGGTTTGGTCATGTTGCAAACTATTTGCCAACTAGCAGCAGCTGTAGAAATTGCTTTAAGTCCACTTGGGTCAGGGAATTCTTGTGGATCAACTCTGATTGGAGGTCCACATTTATATAGTGGATTAATAACACCATCAATGTGCCATTTCATTGGAGGAGTGAAAGCTGTTCTGTTATCATCAGGTGGCATCTTATACACTTGCATTTGAAAAAGGGACCTTGCTTTGTTCTTGTCCATAACAGGAGGCAACACGGTACCATTCTTGCAGCACCAGGGGAGCTTACCAAATTTCTCATCCTCTGCTCTTTCAGAAGGGAGATCAGAGATTATAGGCCTTTTTTGACAATTTGCAACTTGTGAGAAATCCATTGTCCCATAGTACCTTCCAGCAAGACTATACAAGCACTCAGATTGGTCCTTTATGCGAGCATAAGCTCCTTTCATGGAGTATATGAACTCACCCTTTTGCCATTCCCATGTTAAGTTCCAATGATCAAGACGACCCAATGGATGGTTGTTGTCTATGGTCACTTGAACGTAATAGTTGTTCTGGAAAGATTGAAGCACGTCGTATGCAATTGTTAGATCTCCATAGCGACGAGGAAGGAACTTGGTTTTCTTTGCTAGCTTGGCCCTGGCTTTTGGGTCCTTTCTGCAACATACAAACATATTTCTCGACCCTGCATCATCCACATATGTAATATCAAAAATCAAATCATACTATATACAATATCTTAAATTATTCTCTTTGTAGTATGAAATTTACATCATTTTAAATTTCTATCTGCATAAATTGTTCCGACATGGTGGCAAGCCTTGAAATAGCGGTAAAATTATTTCCTGTGATCGAAATTGACTCAAAAGGGTCTCTTCACCAAGATAAAACTATGTATAATCCATCCTCACTCTTACCCTTACAACTTTTGGGGAAACTACAATCCGTTTGGATGAGCTTTTAAAAAAATAACATTTTATGCATTTTATTTTTTTAAATATCTTTTGTTAAAAGGTAAAGTTATTTTACGTTTGGATGTATGGTGTGAAAATCACTTTTATATAAAAAAAAATTGTTTGGATATTAAAATATAAAAAAGTACTTTTTATATATAAAATTACATTAAATGAGAGATAAATTAAGGATAAGGAGAGATAAAATAAGTATGATAGGACGAGGTTAAAATTGTATTTTAAAAATTTATATTATCTTTTAATTTCTGCTTTTTTCCAAAAGCAACCAACTATTAGCTATAAATAAAGCAGCATTTTAACTTTTATTTTAAAATTTGCTTTTTTAAAAAGTTGTTATCCAAACATCTAAGAGTTCTCAAAAAAACTTTTATTTAAAAAAAATAACTTTTTTAAGAATAAAAGTTCATTCAAACGGCACTTCTGTACCCGAGTTTGCCTCTTTTTTAATTTGTTCAATCTAAATAAACTATTGCACATAAAAGACTTGCAAATATAATTATCATGCATAGTTCATTCCATTTAATTAAATCTAACACTATTTCTTTTGACAAATGTGCATAATCAATTATTCATCATTATTATCACCAAGCACGGGATTATTCCGATTTAACCAGTTGTTTCAAATTCGAGTTTGAACTTTTGGAAAATGCGTTATGTTAAAAACTTGGTAAGAAGAATTTTGTTCTCTACATGGTCCCATCAGACTCAAATCAGACTAATCAAGTAATCGATAATCTGATAGATAATATACCAAATATATATAATATCAAATATATATATTAACATAAAATAGTTAGCCAGAATCGTTTTCCATGCATGACTAAATCATTTATATGAGACATATATGCATGCAAAGATACCTCGACGACCAGGTGCGGGGCATTTGAAGCCATCATTAACGAGTCTAATAGTCTTAGGCAATGGGGTACCACCAGTACCCAAACCAAACTGTGTCCCACTCATCTGAATCCTAACAGCCATTTGAGTAAAATCATTGGCGGTTTCAATGGCAGTCTTCAAGTCCGTCATGGGGTTCCCGGCAAGAGTTGTCCCGTTCCCAACTTCTGCCGGAAAATCCTCGGCGTCGACCGGAACAGCTCCATCCGCCGTCACCAGAATCTCCCTATGCTGGAACCCAATGAACATCTTCCACCCTTTCAGTTCCTCATCACCTACGTTCGTCAACGTTGCTTCTGCCTTGAACGCCCATGCCTGCTTCGACACGTTCTTCACGTGCGGATATTCCTTCTCCCGTGAAACCAAGCTGTACGTCAAGAAGATCCCGTCGCAGCTTTCCAGCTCCGCCGGCGGAGGCGGCGGCGAAGCCGGCTTCTTAAAGGCTTGTCCATGACAAACCTCAAAACTCAAAGAAAAAAACAACAGAAGTATGGCATACATGGAAACTGCCTCCTTGAAAGCAGTTTTCATGTCTCCTTAATTCCAACCACTTTTTTTTTTGTGTTTTGTTTTGTACGAGGAATAATAATAATAACAAGGTCGGAGTTTTTTAGGATTGTTTGTGGTGTGTAAAACAGGTGGCGGCCGCGTCGGGACGCGGCGGAGGAGAGGGAGGAACTAGAGAGGAAAGGGTAACTGAAATGGGTATATAAATGGAAGGAGAGGTTCAAAAGTTGGAAGCTGTGTTCCACTAGTTTTAGCGGTGGTTTCGGAGGACAGGTAGGGTTGCGTGTGATATATTTGGAATGGAAACATGGGACTGATGATATTTCATATTTGTTTGTAAGAGAAAAGAAAAAAAGAAAAAAAAAATAACTATTTAGGAGTGTCTTTGTGTAAGTTTTGACCATCATGGTCATTAAGATCCATTGGTTATTTTATTATATAATATTGTACACGTCAACTGTTTTCTTGTAAAAAAAAAAAAGATATGCATAAACTGTTGTCAACTTAATATGTGAACTTACTGCCAAAATAACATATGATGGTTTTTAGTTGAAACGATTAACTACTAAGCCTCTAGAAATAAGGTAACATCAATTAATGTCTTTGGCATAAATAAACACAAACTGATTAAGCTAAAATTAGTTTGTTTGTTGTTGGTATATTAAAAAAGTATATAAGTTTTTTTAATCAATTGAAATATTCATATCAATGTTGTTAAAATCGAGATCTTAAGTAAAATTGGAAGGGGATTAAAAAATCATAAAATGTAAAATCGTAATGTAAAAAAATCGTAAAAAATCGTAAAAACGTAAAATCGTAGTAATAAATCGAGATTTTAATAACAATGATTCATACGAGAAGAGTCTATCTTATTTTTACGTATCATATGTCTTTGATTTCTAATAAAGTTTGAATTTAGGAGGGAATCCACTTTCGTCAAATCTCTTACCATTATTTTCATTTTCATCTCGTGATTAAAGATGGTTCTATTAATGAAGAGGAAATAGTGCACTCTTATACTAATAAGGAAAGAGATTGAAAAATGAAGAAAGATGCTTTAATTATTGATTATAATAATTAATCTTAAAAAATATTATTATTAAAAATATATGAATCAATTCTATGTATCAAAAGTTGTAATTTTTTATACTTTTTTAAGTTTTAAACACAGTATAAAGATTTATAATTTATGATATTCACATAAATTATAATGTTGTGATATATTTATTTGTTAAATGATCATAATGACTTATGTCATCAGTAGGGGCAATGCTGAAAACCAAGACAATGTAGCAGCATTGATGATTTTAGGTTCAAATACCATCCTCCAAAGTTTAATTCTGACCACGCACAATTTTCTCGAGAAAAATGTAAAAGACTGGAACCAATATTTTTGAAGTAAAAAAGTGGTAACGCCCCTCATTATAAACTTCATTAAAACTCACATTAAATAGGTAAGACTCTACAAGCATTCAAGTTAAAAAGAACAATATTTGAACTTTTATCTCTTGTTTAACATGTTCTCGATTCCATCTGGCTAAAGTTATAAAAAATTTTGAAAATTAAACTGAAAGGGCACACTCTGAAGTCTTGGCTCTACCGGTGAGTTATTCTAAAATTGTTACGAATGCCAACAAAATGTAATACACTTTCTAAAGTAATTGTGTTGGAGAAAATGCATCCAATACATGATAGTTAACCAGTTCAATAACTATAGGGTTGGATCACACACTATTAAGATTATTACTGTTGAAGGGTGTTTGGGCTGATATGCTATCTACGAGATGCATGTATGGTTAGCGTGATGCTTTGTGATATGGTTGAACAGGTTCTGATACTTTGGGGTAGTCAGGGATTCACTATGATGTGATTTTATTAATCAAACACTTCCCCCACCGTGCACAAATCTAAATTGGAAGATGATGCTCTTGATAAAGAAGATGGTCAAAGATAGAGAAAAAGGCCAAGGAAGGTTCAAGTCAAGGAGGATTGGGTATTGATGTGAAAGTTCAAAAAAGACTGAGAATAAATTATTTCGTTGAATTATGAAGTCAGTTTTGCATTATATATTGATATGATAATTTTTATTTGTTAATTTTTTAAGGTTACAATATATATTTATTGTACACTGCTCGCTAATTGTATAAGCTTTTTTTAATACTTAACCTAATATATGATATGGACTTTTGTGCATTTAATGTATTGAGTAAAGAGATTTGATTTTGATATATTGTTTACTTTGATTATCTTTTTTTATCATGTGTAACACAGAAAATTGGTATTAATTTTATAGAGAGAAATTTAAAAAAAAAAAAAACTAAAAACTATAAAACTTTTCGACGGAATTTGTTTTTCGTCGGAAATATTTACATCTGTTTTTGACGGAAATTCATTTATTTTCCGTCAAAAACTTTCGACGAAATCTATTTTTTGTCGAAAATCTTTGCAACAATTTTCAACGAAATTCTATTGATTTATCGTTGAAAATTTTCAACGGAATTTATTGTTTTCGATGGAGTTTATTTTCCATAAAAAATCTTTACATCAGTTTCGATGGAAATTCATTGATTTTCCATCAAAAACTTTAGACGAAATCTGTTTCTGGTCGAAAATCATCACAACAATTTTCGACGGAATTCCGATGATTTTTCGTTGAAAATTTTTTATGGAAATAAATTTCGTCGAAAATAAAGTTGGTGAATAGGAAGATGATCATGCAAGACACTCTGATACTTAAGTCAATTAGAATTCAAGGTGTTCAAGTATTAATAGGAAGATGATCATACATGAATTTAATGACTCTGTATTTATAGTTGTAGTTGGTGAATGTCTTGTTTATGCCATCTTAATATGATGGATTGATGTTGTTCATTCCTATTGGTAAATAGTGGTAACTTTCATAGACAACTTTGTGAATGAGATACCTATAGTCACGTTAAGTCTTTGTAAATGTCGCGGCACGCCTGTGTTGTCTTATAGTTATTGGTTCATATAGGGGTTAAGATGTTTTAAACAGCTGATGTCGCGGAATTCAAAGGTTCGAGCATCTAATTCAATTCCTTTCAATAAGCAATGGTATTTTGGATTTATTGGATCTCTCTCTAATTTGAGTCTACTATCTCGCATAAATAAGATACAAATCAATATCATTTAGATCAAAACCACCTCATTAGTATGCAGGATGCATAAAAGTGTGAATGAAGTATTTTTAAGATTATAGAAATGTAGACTAAGAGCATCCATACTTTAATAGTCTTAAAATTTAACACCATAATCCACGATTTTATAGTCTTATTGCATACTGCCACACACCTCGCACTATAATGAGAACATTTTTTTATGAAATACAATGCGCTCGCTAATAATAAAAAATATAAGACAAATACGCACTTCCAACCTTCGATATTCAAGGAATACCCGTACATTCTCTTATAGATCAAGTATTCCCAAAATTACAAGAAACTACATTTCCGTCTCTCAGAATTTCAAATTAAACTCCTTCATCCATACAGAAATTCTCCAGAATGAAGAGAACCTATCTCTTTACTTGCATGCAATTCCGATCGGAACAAGCATTTTATGATACAGTCGTAGGATCTAGAAACTTAGAAACGATATAGGTTAAAAGAAAGAAAAAATTTGCTTATACAACTTAACAATCACTTCTTTCGATATTCCGTTGTTTTATTTTTGAGTTTAATCTCTAGATGATAAAATTATCTCCTACACATACATAAAAATACGTGAAACCCATATTTTTTCTTTCTTTCTTCTCTTTATATGATCTCATATAAACCACACACACTTTTATGTGTATGTAAAAAATAATTTTATCTCCTACAACATAAGAAACATCAAACCCTTTAATTTTTTTTAAATTAAGCAAAAAAAATAATAAAAAAGGGTTAATTACATAAGTTTCAAACTTTTTTAATTAATAAAGAATTTCGTCCCTTTTTATAGTTTTAGATTTTCCCCTACTTTCATCTTCAAACGATCTTGTGGAAATTTCCCATTAATACGCTGTGTTTCCATACAGTACAATTTCATAAGGAAAATGTGTTCGCAGGAAAAATCTGAAATTGCAGTTATATACTAAAGATGCTCAAAGTCGCGTACCAAATCCAAGCAAACCAAATCATTGCATTATTTTTCTTATGTACATCACACGATTTTCCTCCACCCATAAGTCAAAAAGCCATGTCAATTGACAGTTATCTCCTCCACATTACTTATGTCCTCAGCGTAATGAGCTTTTGGCTCTAAATCAATGAACTGGTTTGATTTACTAGCTAGGTGGGAAATACTAACCCTCCCTTGCCGCTTAATATAATCAGCAACAGCTTTCATCTCTTCTTGTGAGATGTAAATATATTTCCCTCTATCATCCATGACACCCGAAAGCCGACCTGATGCACAAAATAAATTCATCGTTATATCCATCCACCTCCGCCTCGGCAGGAATAGACTATGCAAAGATATTAGTCTCATAAAAGCCAACAACATTTCAACGGTATAAGAATTGAAATGTTGTCGAGTTGTAACTACGTTACAAAATGATCATCGTAAACATGACAAAAATATTGATCTCTCCAGCGGAGTTAGATTGAGCAATAACAAAAAAAAAAAAAAAAAAAACCAGAGTTTTCATGCAATAAGAAAAAAAAAAGTGAAGCAGCAGCAGTGTTCAATATAAGCCTTAGCATGTAATAAATCGAGGTTAGTGTGAATAAAACAGATGCATGATTTCTATTATTTTCCATGCATTTAAAAGATTTCCTTTTCTAAAGTAAAATATGAAGTTACATCAACTTTTGAAGAGAGAGAGAGGGATATACATAAAGGTCTATTAACTTCTTTCAGGATGTTGTATATTTATTTAGGAAAAAATGTTTCTGCAGTTAATGCAGATAAGTTATCTGCATTTATTTCTAAAACGACGTCGTTTTGGTATTGAAATTTTAAAAAATTATAAATATAAAGACTATTATAACCCTGAAATAAATTAAAATTACAAAAATATCATGATTTTCGCCCAAAACGACGTCATATTGGACTTACTGCAGATAACTTATCCGCAGTGACTGCAGAAAAAGCAAACCCATTTATTTATTAGATGTCAAAGTCAGAAGGCAACGATAGCAAAAGATAAATGGACAAGAAATTAAAATTGGCAATATTAATGATGAAAAATTATTAGACAACTCTAACACATAGACTGTAACACAGTATATTAGAACTCACAACATAATGTATGCACCTTGATTAGACAAAGTGAGAAAAAAGTTACCGTTGGTTTAAAAAAAACTTCGTAGATTGAGTAACATGATGCTTAGAATAGGCATGATTTCCTTTACTATGTAACATTATGTCTAGCCATTCTTAGTAGGAAGGTTCTAATATAAGGTCACCCAATTAGTCTATGGGACAGCCCGTGCCTAGTGACAATTGGGTATAAATTATAAAAATTATTAGGATTCCCTGTTGAGATCAATACTTCTTCCACGGTTCCACTTATTGAAGGCCCATGCCAAAGACTTGGCCATCTAATATGGTAAATTGGCTATATATGAGTTCAAAAGGGGGCGTTGGTGAAGGAGAAGACAAAAATCTATAAAGAAAAATAAATCTCGAACGGTAATAAATACTTCTTTTGATGGATGAAAATTTAAAAAGAAGGGATAAATAAAGGCTCTTACCCATACTTTCCAGAGAGGTGATGCGATTGATACATTCCTGCATCAGTTTAGGGAGTCATAAAAAGGAAGCCCGTGGAGGGTAAAAAAATTACTCAGACAGTAAAAACTATAACAATTTGATTCATATTCAAATAGATTGATAGAGTCTCAAACAAAGTATAAACAGGGCTTCTCTAATTAGAAACATTAAAAAGGGATCCCACCAGTGAGCTTAACACTCATAAAATTATAAAGAAAGCATTTACAAGCTAAACTACCAAAATGGAACTGTAATTAAAATACCTGCATCTTTTCACCTAAAAAAGGGTACGGGGATTTTTTTATTTTTTATTTTGGTTTCTTTCTTTGGAGGGGAGGGGGTGGTGTATTGATGTAATTTAAATTACTTGCTAAGGAATACAAAAGTAATTAAGAAAGTGCTTTGTGATTATTAGTTACTCGTGGTTGTGACACGCCCAAATTAAAGGGCATAAGTCATTGTATAGTTGCAGTATTAGTACAAACAGAAATATATGATCAACAATGTATTGAGCTATTCTTAGTAATTAATAGAATATTATATTTTTCTCTGCCTCACATCTCCTTCATTTTCCCTTCCTCTATCTCTTTAAAACTCTTATTTTTTTAACATGATATCAGAGTGGTGCCAACTATCTTGAACCCTACATTTTCCCAATCCTCCCTTACAAAGAATTGGAAAGAAAAAGAAATCAGTGACCTCAGGGTAGGCTGAACTTTCTAATCTATATTTTCATTCTATTGTCTTTGGGATCAAAAATAGATTGTTGGAATTTGGTGGTAAATGACCCAAGTGGTCTATGGCTTATGGAGTATATGAGTCATTGTCTAGTACTAGACACATGTATTGGTGTTAAAACTTAAAAGAGGTATAGGATTGGCTTATGCAATTGAACCAATCTAAGTAATTTGTGGAAAACTATGTTCTCTCTGTCACATCTCCTTCGTTTTCCTTTCTTTTTCTCTCTAACACTCGTTACCTTTAAAAACTACTAAAGATTCCCCCAACCAAATACAGGTAGAATAATCAAATTAGATAGCACATAAACCATAAAACATACCAGCACAGCAGAATTTATTATTATGTTACACTGCTTCTCCCATAAAACTAGTAACAAAAACCAATGGAAGAAAAATGAAATGGTGATGAAGGTAATAGATAAGCTGATTCAGATAAAGGAATAATAAAGGAAAAAATACCTGCGTACGCAATTTAAATTCTGCAGCAAGATCTTCTAAGGGAACACATTTGTGCTTCTGAATGATTACATAAAAATTAAGTCAAAATTAGAATGGCCATAGGAGATAATGATAACCCTAGCTAATTGCTAGGTTTTGATGCCCTACGGAAATATATAAATTTTGGGAAATTTAGTAGGGAGAAATCAGGGAAAGTAAGAATGTAGAAAGTACAAAACAGATAATAACCTTTATATATTCAACAAAATTGGATACCAAGTCTTCGGTATTATCCTCCACTTCTTCCAGGGTACCTTCATCATCAACTGAAAATTCACCTTTCCACTTCTCGAAATCTAATGCAGCAGCTTCTTCCTCCTTAGCCTTCTGAGCTTCAGCTTCCTCTTCCTATATGATCCATTACCAAGCAAGTGCTTTGCCAATTAATAAACCATAAGAAGGTTCATCCTCAAATAAAATCAGACCAAGGTTATTAACTCACCAACATACGTTCCCGCGCCTCACGCTCTTCTTCCTTCAACCTCCGCATCTCTGAATAACGATCTTGTTTTGCCTGCCTTGACTCTCGCGCAGCTTCATCAGCCTTCCAAAAAGATGGAACAAGATGTGACTGACTTCTTAAACCTCAATCAACATAGAATACTCCAAAAAAGAACTAAAACTAAGCACAAAAATTCAAGTTGAATAACACATTTGTCAATCATATCTGAGTGTAAAGTCTGTCTAGTATTCTTCAAAGTCCTTGTATCCAATACTCAAAAGTTTAAACATTAGTATGAGAATTAAATACAAATTAAAAATGTCAGTGTCCTCATTAAACCTTCAAATACACAACATCTTTCATTTCTAGAAACCTTAATTTTTGGTGAGTCAGATTCAAACTACTTTGCCCCTTGGCATAGAAGGCTACAAGCTATGGCGCAAATAACAAGAACCCGTCCAAAAGTATATCCTATTATCTTTAATTAACAAAAGAATTGTACCAGTTTTCAATACATAATAAAGAAACAATACCTGTCGTCGCGCTTCCCTCTCTTGCCTTTTAATTTCCTTTTTCTTTGATGCTTTAGCCTCATGATACTCTCCGCCAGCAGCTTCATCGTCACTTTCATCAGCAGATTCTGTTTACATGTATAAACTTGATCACTTCACAAAAGCAACGCAGTTTCAAAATGCAATCTGTATATATTCTTCCAACACAGCAATGCACGTATCATGTTTTCATATCACCTACCAGTCTAATACTACTTCCATATAATAAAAACAGCAAGCCAAATAACAATGCCAAAAGTTGACTCCACAGATGCCAAAATCCCCCAATCACATTCTTACCCTAAACACTTGAATAAAACAGTGACATATCTAATGAGATAGAAAAGTAAAGAAGATAAATACACAAGTGATTCACATCCAGCAACCCTTCCAAGTGGAAAACAACACATCTAATAATTCAAAACTCTATCAAGAGAGCCGATTTTAAAATGATCCAAGCTTATTATTCAATATATGTGCACTATGAAGTCTTCACCACCATGTGACAGAGTTGTTTTATCCAAAGTCTCAAGCACACCATGAATTTCACATCTTAGTTCAAGTTATATCTCGTAATTTTTATTCACTAAGCCATTGCATCAAACGCGAATAAAATAAAATAAGACAAAATTAATTAATTAAACTTCTTAGATTTATACGAAAAACCTTCTTGCGTTGCAGGTTGATCTGATGAAGTGCTAGCTCCAGACGCAGGTTGTCTCCGGCGCATACGACGGGTACCGGTGGCGCGCACCACCGTTTCTCTCCGCGGAGCCTGAGGATTAGTTATCGTTAATCTAAGAAAACAGTTTTGTGTTTCAAGCTGATATTGTTAGGGTTTTGGCGGCGAAATGAGAGAAGAATCGCGGAGTTGGAAGTTGCAAACCTGCTGAGGTTCTTCGTGGTGAGGGGGAGGTTGAGAATCGTGACGGCGTTTCCATAGATAGAGTGGGATCAGTGCTGCTAACACAAGCATCGAAAGTATCGCTACAAATAGTTCCTCCATTGCTGCAAATCACTGCAAAGACGCTCTCCAGATTCTCCTTTTTTCAATGTTTCGTTTCTGGGGAAACTCATTCCTCAACCGATTGTGTAAGCAGTCTCTCACATGAATCGACGTCGTTTTGTCTTTAATAAATTAGATAATAAAAAAAGTAATAATATGAATATCCTCCCCTAAAGTAAATATAATAACTCTCTCTAGTAGTTGTGGATTTAATATTGAAGAATAATTAGAAAAAAAATGAAATAAAGTGACCTTTGGTGAAAAATGAGAGTTAAAATGACAGTTAAGGAGTAAAAATGCAAGTAAACAAAGTTACTCAAGAAGTGAAAGTAAAGTTAGAAACATGACTAGAAAAATATTCTAGTCCATTGAGTAAATTTTGATAATAAATGAAGGTGATTAGATAGATAAACTTTTACCCATTTAAATTTCACTTAAGCATGTAAGTGAAATATATATATAAGCTTTCGTATTCTTCTTCAACTTCAACGTCGACAGACAACAAAAATGGAAAAGGGAGCTAGAGACCTCAAAATCACTATGTTTCAAAGTCAAACTTGTGAGAAATTTCGAGAGGAATCCATTGGTACCAGTATTTCTGGGTGGGGTTCACTGTAGAGAGAGATCTTCTTCCTCTAAGATTTTGGATTTCATGAAAAATGGTGGTTTTGATGGAGCTTAAAGCCATGGGAGCTTGAAGTAAGCTTTCCCCTTCGTTCTAGGTAAGTTACGTATCCTAGTTTTCTTTGAGTTTTGAGGAAAATTAAATTTAGGTTTCCATTTTGAAACTTTGGCTTGAATGAGCATGTTAGAGCTTGATAGAGACTTAGCTCATGTTGAGAAAAATATTTAGATGAAGATTTTAACAGTGAAAATATATTCGAAAAAATTAAAGATACCGTATTTTTGAATAGTTACGTATACATGAATAGTGACGTATACGTGAATAGTACTGTAGAGATGAATAGTATCATATATATGAACTAATTATGGATAATGATGTAAATATGTTCATTGGTTATAGTGTGAGACCAAGTGGACTTGTGGAGCAAGAGCATAGACATTGATCAAGGCTCTTGAGATTAAGGTAAGTATCAAACAATGGTTTGATGTGAAACTTACATGAAATGAATATATGTTTAATTGTGATAAATTCACAATGGATAGGTGTGTTGGTCATTTGTTGAGCATTTTGTTGGCTTGAGGACCCTTTGACTTGGAAGAGGCTAGAAAAAGAGCTATTCCAGGTAAGCTTTCGGTCCTTGGGGTTAATCCCCCGTCTGTTCCACCAAACTCCGAGGGAGGGTGGTAGTTTGATATGGTATGTTGCATGTATATGTATGTATGTTTGTGTGCCACACAAGACGGTGTTTCCTTGTGTGACGCATAAGACAGTGTTTCCTCATACGGTATGTTGCAAGACAGTGTTTCCTTGCGTAATGCATACTTGTTATATTCTCTAGCCAGTAGGATTACATTATTGCACACTGCATTGTCATACATATTCTGATGCATGCATGAATTTTTATACTGTGTTTATACCAGAAGTGAGCTTAGGGGTGGAGGAGCCCTCCAAGGGTCCCTAGCTTACTGAGGTAATTATATTATCTCACCCGCGTTATGGGGATTACTATTTCAGGTACAGGGGCTGATGGTGCTGAGGCATAGCGTGGCAAGAGTCCAGATGAGAGATATTTGGCATGGTTTTATTTTGGATATGCATATATACCATGTTATTCTTTCGGATAGCATAGGGAGTGTCTATGCCATGTCGATAGTTTGTATATATGGTTTGTGATGCATTATAAGGTCTATATTACTTATTTAATTGCATCTCTTCTGTTTATTTGATGTAATTATATAAGTAAAATCATGGATATTATTTTGAGACAGTGTGATTATGAGATAGCATAGGTCATGGATGGTTGGGCAATATGTTTTATCTACGCTGTGGTATGCCTGAGTCATATTAAACTGTCAATCAGGTTGAATTATCATAGTGAAAATTATCACCAGTGGTCTAAAATACAGAGAAAATGCTGTCCGTTTTATTTTGGCCATGGAAGTGAAAATGTTTGCAATACATAAGGAAAGTATAAGAAAATTTATTCAGTTAGCTTCCGCATTAATTAAGTTGAGCATGTTCCGCATACTATCATATGAGTATTAATTAACCGACCGCAGACGGGGCGTTACAGTAATAGTCTTTTACTCTTTCGTATTATTTTATTTAGATAATTTAGAGATTCATCTGATTTTAATAATTTTTTTATTTTATTTTAAGACTTACTCGTTAATCAGGGTTCCATATTGATTAATAAATATTGCTAAATTTTAAATTTAAAGAATCTTGTTTTTGTTTTGGTTATAGGAACCCCAGTTTACTAGTCTTCTTTGGTAGTTAGGGGGCGTTTGGTACGGGAAAATTTTTTTTTTATCCAGGAAATAAGTATTACTGAAATATAGTGGGAAGGAGATTTTGTCTGGTAAATTACGAAAAGGTGTTTGGTTGGGACAAATTTTGCCAGGAAAATGTAGTTAATTTTATAAATGCTATGTTTGGTTAATTGTTAAATATTGATGAGAATGTTAAAGAAAATGTCAAAATTACCCTTTACCTTTGTTAGTTTGAAATCATAACATCTGAGACAACACATTTTGACCGTTTCAGATTTGGTAGTCACTGTTGTCCTACTCGGTCCACATTTTCTTCGTTCTTTGCAAACATTTGCTGTGGTCTGCCTTCTTCTTTGTTGAACTGGGCTCGCCGGAGATCTATCACACTTTGCCAAACGCGCAGGCCACTCGTGTCCCTTGGTCGTCCACACTGTGAGGTATACGCAGTGCATGGTGGTTGCTGACGAACGGCAACTACAGTAAACCCTTTCTTTTTACTGTTTTGCAGCAAACATTGTGAACTACTCCGCAATCCCATCTATCCATAAAGATCCATACTTTACAAGTTGGCATTTATCGTGTTTTAATATATTCCATAGGTGATTATAATCCTTGAACGTTTTCGGTTCACGTTACGGTATGAAAAGGTAGACTGGGTATGTAAATTTTTTTATGAGTAGTGATACCCGTATGTAGTTGTGCATTATAACTACATACGGGGTACGATTGAGTCTTAACTTGTTTGCATTTCTATGTCAGTCCACCTTTTCTCCCTTGCTGTCCTATAAATTTTGCGTGAAATTGTGAGATTGTGGTTTATTTTTGTACTGTTTAAGCCTTATTTGGTTATGAAGCATTGTTGTGCTGCAATTTGTTTGTCTACTTGCAATTATGTACCAAAATTTGAATGTACATTACAGTGAGTCTGAATGTATATTTGACCGTGTGTTGTGAGATTTTGTAGTAACAATAAGCCAATCTACCTTGGTTATAGTGTTGTGGTTCACTTTGTGTCACAGCAGAAATCGTTTGAAAGTCAGAATGGGTGGAGATGGCTGTCATAGTGTATTTTCTGGGCAATCCTCATGTGTATCCTCATCGAACTTGAAGATGTGCAATTGTGGACTGACGACTGTGGTTCGCAAGAGCTGGACAGCAAGGAACCCAGGAAGGCAGTTCTTCGGATGTCCTAATTTCAACACACGTCGAGGGACCTGTAATTTTTTTGAGTGGGTCGATCAACCGACATGTCGTAACTGCAAACAGAAGGACTATTTGTTGAAATTTTCTATGCTTTTGCATATGGTTTCTGTAATGGTGATTGGTATTGTAGTGTATGCCAACAAAAATGCTTGTTGAGTTGTAAATATAAGTTATGCTATGTTTTTTGCTTAATGCACCAAGTTGTACTTATGTAGAAGCCATGTACTTAGTGAGGACGGTTGCATGGATTTTGTGTTTGTTTATGATGTATTATGTATGTCTTTGCGATGTAACATACTTGGTATTGTTATTAATGGAAGGATCGAAGACTGGAGGTTGTCATTCGTTTGGGGTGTTTTAGTTTTATGCGTATGGCATCAAAAACTGTAGGTGGCTTTGGTTATTCTTCGAGGGTTCTGAATGATGAGGCTCCTTACTTCGTCAAGTTATGGTCTTGTTTGTTTAGTAGTGACCAGAAAAAGGAACATGCTCTTTTTGGGAAATTTGAAAAAAAATACAATTCAGTGAGCCCTGTGCTCTCTGAAAGCCTTGTGAATTTGCTTGAGGTTTTCTGGAATCCTTGATATGTTTGTCTTTTATTAAGGTGTCTGAATTTGGAGTCTTCCATTTGGGGCTGACTAAATGGTTTCCTGTTTATTGTGTTTGCTAAAATTAAAATATTGTAGATATTTTTATAGTGTAGGGAATTTTGTGATTAGGAGCCTTTTTGAATGAGTACATATTGATAATTAACTGTGCTGAGTTTGATTTTTAAGCGTGTTCAGATATCCTTCATGGAATCACCTGTCAATGGAGTTGAGTCCTTACCTGAGGTTCAGAATGAACTTCAACCAGCAAGCAACAAAATTGTGCTTACCTGGAGCATGGAGTATTGCCAACAAAATTGTGCAGCAAGCAACCATTTCATGATTCGAAGGATTACTTTTTGTCCAAGTCCTCAGAATAGTTTCTATTCAGCCACTGTCTAGTCAGAAGCCAAAGAAAGTTTCAATAATACTGAAGTCAATATAAGTGTGCTACTGTTGATAAGTCATGTGAAAGTGGAGAAGTTAGAAATTCGTGTGATTTTAATGAGTGGGGGAAGACCACCATCTGTAACAGATTGTACCGGAAGTGATGTTAGTGATGAGAGCAACACCAGTAGTTTGAGCATAGCTATGTATAAACCCCATAAGGCAAATGATATCAGATGGGAAGCAATTGAAGCGATCCGAGCTCCTGATGGAATGAGCAATCCATATGGATGACTGCATACAACATACCTCAAATGCTCCACCAAGACAACTTCATTTAAAACAACACACATTACTGGACTCATTGCAACCATGGGCAGGTTAGAGGAATGCAACAAATGCTTTCACACCTAAGGCAAACCTAAATCATAGTCAAACTGACATATATATTTTTCCCTGTAACATGCATGCAGGATCGGACCACATCAAATATCTACACATTTTTTGGGTAAATTAATATTAATTACAAACAAGCACAATACAGCATCACTGATCCTATATGACTCGAAGTTGTGCTGGGTCTAAGATGACCACAACACATAAGCTACACATGAACACGAGTATACAAAAAAGAAAAGATCCAAAAAAAAATAGTTTTCCCTCACAACCCAAATATCTACAAATCAAGTCCAAAACAGATTATGACTGACCTCAGCAAAAAAGGAAGTGACTTTGGTTACCTGATGCTTCCTTATCTCACTTGAGAGTCGATTGTGGTTGAACAAAAAAACGATTTCCTTCAACACGTTCCACCACCCGTACTGCAGATATGAAAGAACAAATTAGATAGAAGACTAAATAAAAGAAGAAGCTACCCATCCAATGCTCAGCTGCCTCGCACAAATCAGCCCAGAAACCTCATAACATTTTCTTAAACAAATCAGAAAACGGAAAACCACCTTCGACAATATGGAAATTGCACATGCAAATGTCATAGAAGGCAAGAGTCATACCGATTTCGTCACTCACATGCAAGGAATCAGCTTCTTCCTCCTCACTTGCGCTTTCTGGAAATGGAGGGAGAAATGGCAGATATAAGACTCTTTCGCGCCAATTTTGCACACGGCTTTCAGTCCACCACCAACCAGTCAAATCAGATTCACCATCAGTGCACAGATCGTACAAAAGTGAAGGTTATTTTCGTATTTGCATTTGCGGTTCACACTTCACTTCCCCGGGCAAACACGAAAGTCGTTCTTGAGTTGGACAACATGTTTCCATTCTTTCAATACAAATCACACATGAAATGCAAATAACGGGACAACTTGTTGCCAGAGATATTTACCATTTTTGTGTTGCCAAACATGGCTATTCCAAAATCCAGATAGCGTTTTCCCAGGGATGCAAAAATTATCCGAGTACCAAACGCCCCCTTAGTTCACAATTTACGTTAATTCCGGTACTTCAATTTAAGCCATCGATGAAAAAGTACAGAAACAGACTACAGAATAGAGCATGAGAAATGAAAGGTATGAAATGACAGAATCATCCTCGATTATTCTTTATATTTATTTATTAAATTAGAATATATTCATTTGCGGATATTAATAACTTTTAAAAAAATAACGTCTCAATGTTAATTATTTGTTTCCTTCAAATTAAAATTTAAACTCCTTCTAATTTTACAATCCATATCTTGATTTTTATTTCTTAATATATTATCTTTTGATTTATATTTTTAAAAAAATTTGAATTTAAAAAAAGTTTAATGCATGATGTATCCACTAGTTATAGGCTAAACTTAAAGGCTAAACTTAAAGGCATCCAAGCCATGGTTTCGAGAGTCGGGCCGCTGATGAAGTCATTAAACCAGTTTTTAAATCACAGACTAGCCTAATAATAAGAGTTGTAAATAATAATTATATAATAGATTGTGTGTTCAATTCTCAATGTATCCCAAAATAAAATCAGTTTTTTTTTCACCGGTGGATAATTTACGTTTAACAGTTGAGTGAAACATAACCATCCCACCATCCCATCAAGGCAACAGTGAGGACAAACAATTTTAACCCAGTTCACAAAAATCAGAATAAAAGCTTTCAAAAGAACAAAAAAAAGAAAGAAAAAAAAGCAGGAACCAAAAGTACATGATAAAATATGCCACAACAATAAGTGCGTAACAAAAAAAGCCCAAATATTTGGAGTGAATCATGTGAAAAAAACAGTGATCCAAATATAAATCAACAATTTCACCCTTTTTTTTTTTCACCCTTATCTTAATATATTCTTCAGTCACCATAAATTTATACCTTAATATTTGAGGACATCCCCACATATCACGAGAGGATGATCCTTCTCCGGGATATTGGTCATTTGAGTGATCATCCATCAACAAACGTCAGTGCCACCAAATATATAGACGGGCCGGATTTTTGCATATTTAGGGTGAATATGGACGCTTTCACAGTGTGAAAGTAGACTTAATAAAGGATTCTTCTGGTGACTAAACATATCCTAGAGTACCAAAACATTGAAAACTATAAAAGAAAAAAAAGCCAGTAAAATCCGTCTCATCGATTAGTTTCTTGACAGAAAACTTCTGAACAAACTATTGGACGGAACAATCAACTCCCCTTCCAAAGGCGCGTATTTAGAGGATGGTATAAAAAAATACAGCACACTAAGTAAAGATTAACGCATCCAAGTATCTGATATGTAAAATGAGGTTGTATAGAACTCTTATCAAACTGCTTTCATACATGTTACTAAAGTAAATAGCACATAATGTCATAAATTCCATAATCCCACATAACAGATATTAAAAAACTAGAACAAAAAATACCACAATCACATATATGCCCAACTCGAAGTGAGCCAGATAGACTTGACACTCAAATTTCCAGATGCTCAGAAACCATGAATCTTAATATGCTCCTTCTTCACAATACCAGCCTGTTCAAGTCCACAAACAGATTTGATTAAAAAAAATAGTGTTTTTCCAATAATTTAATGTCAACATATTCAATAAAAAAATTTCAATTCCATGCAATGAAAGGCATAAATCAATGTTTACTGGTCACTACATGGCAGAACAAGTATGAGATGCTATCAATTAGAATATCACACAACATTGTGGGCCAGACCCAACTATGATTTGCTCAAAATTCACCTAAATCAGTTCGCAATATAGCAGCAAACATCCAGGACATATAATTTTAAAAAGTTGATAATGGGCAAGTCACTTCCCTACTGTTAACCTAAATCTCAGAAAGAAAGAAAAACACACTCCTTAACTGCCAACTTGCTTCTCTCAAAAGACTAACCAACAAAAACTATAATTGTAACATCACATAACTTACGTACAATTTTAAAAAACATATCTAGTTACATTACTGGATCATTCCCAAATCTGGAGAAACATCAGATTGCACACCAGCATAATGCCAAAAGCATAATCAACAAACTAATTCTCAGACAACCAGTCATATATGTTACACCATTAAAAATGCCACAAACAAGAGCAGCAAAGTAAAAAGAGAAGGGGAAGAGTGAATAACCAAACAAACCATGGGGCTCAGGATAGATGACAATTATAAAAGAAAAACTAATTCAAACAACGTACTAGCTGCATAAAACCAAAGATGATAGTTACCTGAACTAGGAAGGTAGATACATTCTTCCTCTGATCGCCTTGAAGTTGAATAACCTGCACAAACAAAAACGTTATTAGAAGAAACAAGGGGTTGATCATAGTTTAACAAGAGGATGTCAACACAGACCTGTCCTAGTTCTGGGTCCTGAACAACTGTACCATTGCAACAGAACTCCTTCTTAAGGTCTTTAAGTATCTTGTTATAGCTGAATTCTTTCTTCAACCCCTGGACAGTTGTCAAGCTTTTTCTACCATTCCTCTGCTGTATACGAATATGCACATACTCCTTTGACCCAGCACCCGAGTCCTCAGCATTTGCCTCAGCAAAAGGATCTAAAATTGTTGACACACATCCCACACAGCATTCATATATTACTAAGAGAATCAATTGATAAACCTGATTTCCATAACCACAGTAACTAAGCATTCCAAACAATAAACGTCATGTAAGGCTGTAAGATTGGATTTTAACACAACCTTCATATATGTCAAAACCCAAATTTATCAATGCATTAAAATCCTATATATAACCACCTCAAACCAATCAAAAAAAGTAAACTATATTATGAGAAAAGTTCTGTGCAAGTGTCAGCATCTTTTTTGCATCTTGTTCAACAATGGAATGTAACTAATTGATATTAGCCCCAAAAAAATTAAATATATAAAATAATCCTATTATAAAAGTTAAAAGTGAAGAACATGGACCAACTTCATGCCCAGATTTCTTGAATATAGTAAAAGGTTTATAACTTCAAGATTTAAACATAAAAGTGCATAATATCAAATTAGTTAGGTAGACTGAAATCTAAAGATAATCAGACATAGAAAAAGTTATCCAACGCAATTTGATTCAGAAGTTATGAAGGAAGTTCTACTATAATTACCCTATTAAAGAAGTGTAGATACTATTGTAGAACTCAAACTGAGGAAAAATTCAAACAAAGGACATGTTATGCTATTGGTGACAACTTTTCCAAAGAACTCAACCATACATAACATATATGCATAGCCAAAACTTATGTCTGTCCCCTCCGTAAGGAATGCATATAATGAACAAGACAATTATCCAAAGACAACATTCCTCAAGAAGTTCAAACATACCGTAGGTAGTAGGAACCTGTGCGTCTAATTCAGACATGAAAATTAACTCTCCGAAACTGAAGCTCCTACCAACCAGATTGCTCAGACCTGGATTTAGAATAATCAAATTAGCTGAATTACAATAACAACAAGCTCCAAAAGATGTCAAAATCATTGTCAATCTCCAATAACACAAAGGAAACATGATATCAGCACAGATAAACCAAAAAATAAATTACGCCAGCACCCAGGCCGGTCAAACAAAACTTAGACTGAGCTGAGCATGTATAGAATAATAAGAAGAAAAATAATAATAACCCATGTTTTGCAAAACATAAAAAACAATGAAATCAAATGATTCAAAATCAGCAGTGACAAAACAAATTCAACATTTATTCAAAACAAAACTTCCAAAGTTGTAAACATTATTGTAAGGTTAAATTAGCGAGCTCTTACTAAATTAAACAATAAGACTAAAAATTGAAATATAAAAAAATTAAACATGATAAATTTTATAATTTTAAGATAGCAGCTATATCGTCAAAGGCACATCGACTAGATCTAAATTACCACAATTGAACAGGGGGAAAAAAAACTCCCCGACGTCACAAAAAATCAAATCTCTTTGTTCCAACAAAGCACACGCTTTTTATCGGGAGGATCTGATCGAAACCAAACAAAACCCCCAAAATTTATACATACTCCAACCAACTATTGACGATTCTACAGAAAAAGCTAATCCAAACACTAGATTAAATCTTAAAAGAAAGACAAAAAGGAAAAATAATCATGTTACCTGATCCTAGTTTAGGGTTTCGACAAGTCTCGGACTGGGTTAAGGATTGAACCCTAAATTGGATAAGGCTGAACTCTTCGCGATCTCTCTCTCTCTCTCTCTCTCTCTCTCTCTCTCTGAATGTGCTATGTTTGGAAGGAGAGAAATTAAGAAAGAAATCGAATAGGAATAAAAACTCTAGTTTGACGTTTGTTACTTTAAATGACAGTATCTCATTTCAAAAGAAGATAGATACAAAAAATGGTTATTATGAGATAGAAAGTAAGTGATTTTTTTTAATTTAAATTTTAAATAAAAAATTTATTTTGTATTTATCTCTCTTCTGAAATGACATAACTTTATGCATTCAAAATGACAAATATTTTTTTCTTAAAATAAAGATATTGATGTTTTTCATTTTACACATATAAGTTATATTATTCTAAGAGAAATAGATATAAAAATACAAATTATGCAAAAAAATAGGTGATTTTTTTAATTTAAATTTTAAATAAAAAATTAATATTTTGTGTCTATTTTTATTTTAAAATAATATAATTTCATATAATTTAAAATGATAAATATTTTTCTCAAAAATAAATATAGAGAAACGTGAGGCGCACTTAGCTGCAATGAGCATCACGTGTGATGATAAATTTCTACTCACGGAAACGGGTAAGGAAAATCACGCGCTGCCCCCAGTAAATGACACGGACACCCCTGGCGGGGCTTTGTCCACGTTTCCCAAAACCTGGCGCGTAGAACTAATTGTTTGGTTAGTAGTAAGGGTGTTAACGAGCCGAGCCGAGCCGAACCTGTATTCAAATGTGTCAGACTGACCTTACTCTGTTACCTGTTACGAATATAATATCAGCCTGTGGTCTAGCTCATTTACAAAAAATAAAAGCCTTGTTTAGCCTGTTACTCTGTTTAAAAAACATAAGACAACAAAAATTTATCCAAACAAAATATACAATCAACATCACTAGTAATTCTATAAATATTCATAAATTTAATATATATCCAAATAGCATAATATAAAATAAAATCATTTAAAAAGTCTGTTTAATTAATAAAATGAGATGAAATGAATTGAGAAGAAAGAGAGGGCTATCACAAGTAGTATAAAAAATTAAAAAAATAATATTAGGCAAGCCTGAGAGGCTCTAAGGCCGAGCTTTTGAATTGGAGCCTGAGGCCATTTTATTAAACGAGCTTTTATACAAGTCCAAGCCTGGGTCCAACAATCAATTTTAAATATGTAAGTTCAAACCTTCACGAGCCGAGCTAATGGCCCTTGGCTTGTTTAGCACCTCAGTTAGTAGAGGAAGAGTAGCGTTTCCATACAAGGGTAGAGCTGTCAATTCATCTAAAGCAAGCTGAGATAATACTTGGAAGAAACAATCTGGAAATATAAAAAAAATAAAAATACACACTCCTGAAACATGGCTGATTGGCCTCTGTTAAAACTTAAAATACGGGTAGGTTATATTTATATTATATTTTCTCTTGCCATTTTTTATAATTAAATTTTTTATTCTTAAATTAAAATCAAATTAAAAAATTTGATTTTATAACTGATGATATAATTCTGATCTAAAGATAAAGAAAATAATTGCAAGATATTATAAGAAAAAATATGTTATAACTTATAAGTATAATATTTCCCTTAAAATATATACAAGGTTTGTTTTCAACTTCAAATTATAATAACCGTTTAAAAATTTAAATTTATAACAAAAGAAATAATTTTGAAATCTCAAATCCAAGATTAATGTTATACTTTGATGCTGAAAATCAGAGTTAGAATTAGCGAGGGATTATGGTAGGTGACTATCACGTTAAACTTATAGGAGAAATCTTTCTCCTTTCAAATGACACAACTTATATCATTTCACTCTTACAAAGAAGTGATACTCATATCTTTATTTTTTGGGAAAAACTACTCTTATGTTACATGTGATAAATTTCTCTTGTACACACCCTTCGATAACTGTGCTACCTTTTTTTTCTTTTCTTTTTATTTTTCAGGTGGTGGAGCCCACAAGTTTATCTCTATAACATGAGATAACTTATCTCCTTTAACATGAGATTAATAAAACCCTTATTTATTTATGTTGTCCACTCTCTCTCCCCCTTTATCTATCTCTTTCTTTCTCTTAAAATGACATAACTTACATTCTTTAAAATGATACATATTTTTTCCTAAATTTATATAAATATTATCTTACATCTTTTCGGATATAGAAAAAATGTATTAAAATATTATCTTAGATTTTTTTTTCAGCTTCTCTTATCCTTATAAGTATAAGCTTAGATCAAATATGTCTTTACAAAAACTCTTATAATAATAATAAAAAATTATAACTAAGAAAAAAAGTCAAAAGCTCTGAGAAAAAGTTTTTTTAAGTTGTATCAACTTTTTTTCAAATATATGTTTTTTTTTTTAAGTTAACAGCTTTTAAGTAACTTTAAAACTAAAATTTTTATATATTCACCAAAAAACTTATTGTTTTATTTTTAAAATTCTATTTTTTAGCTTTAACTTAAAATTAGTTTTTAGCTTAAAAAAAATACCAAACAAGCTATTAGTCTTCAAGGTTTTATCTAAAATAATTATCTTATATGATATTATTTTGGAAAAACTTTATTTTCACCTACTCTGATTTTATGATTTATCACTTACCCTATATGGTTATAAATTTGTCAGTTAGACTCACTGTGCTTAAAGAATTTATCATTTAACCCCCTAAGGTTTCAAATTTTCACTTACACTCATTATGGTTACAAAAATATATCACTTTAGAGGTGGCAAAGTGGGCGGGACGGGCCAAAAAATGAGTCAGTCCGTCCCGCCCTGTTTGGCGGGTTAGGTGGGTTGGCCCGTCAACGCGAGCCTATTTTACACTGACCCGCCTTGGCCCGCCTATACTCGTCATCAACCCGCCAAAAAATGAGCCCGCCCGCCCCGCTTTTGAGAAAGGTTGAAAAAATCAGCCTGCCCCGCCCCGTTTGGCGGGTTGGCCCACCGAGCCGAGCCCGTTTTGCTGGCTCTTAGACCCCTTGTGGTCTTATAAATATAAAAATATTTACTTTTTCCAAATTTTATTTTATATAATTATGATATTATCAAATAAAATTATAATAAAATTAAGAATTAAATTAAAAAAATTCAAATTTATTTATTTTGAAATAATTTATAATTTATCATATTTTTTATTTAATTTAAAAATGAAAAAACTTCTTCAACGTAAATTAAATATGTATTATCAAAATAATATATTTATTTTCTTTAGATAATTTTATAATGATATTGGGTAAAAAATAAATAAAATAAAATAATATTTGATTTGAATTTATTTTCATGATATAAATAAGTCAATTTTGTTAAAATTTATTTTTATTTATTTTTCTTAAATTCATTAAATGAGGATATAACATGTTACCAACAAAAATGAGGATATAACATAAAAAAGAGGGAAAATAAAAGAATTTATATGTATAAAATTATTAGGATATAATTGATATTATTATTAAATAAAATTAATTTAAATTTAAATAAATAATTTATATTTTTTGTTCATAATTATAACATGATAATATAAGATAAAAATTGAGAAAAATAAAAAATAATGTATATATAAGATCACAAGGAGTCAAAATGATATATTTTTGTAACTACAATGATTGTAGATGAAAATTTGAAATCACAGGGAGTTAAATGATAAATTATTTAAGTACAATGGACTTAAATGAGAAATTTAAACCATAGGAGGTCAAATGGTAAATCATAAAATTATAATGCGTGAAAATAATTTTTCCCTATTATTTTCATTAATTATTGGATTGATATCAATTAATTATGATTGGTATCAATTAGGAATTTTTTATTTAATTTTATTTATTTTAATTCATTTGGATTAGAGGAATATCAATTAATTGTAATTAATATAATTAATAATATTACATTTTAATCCTAATTTCTGTTAATTAAGATTCATATCAATTAAGATTATTACCGTTTATTAACCTTGCCAGTTTATTGTATTAGATTCTTATAAAAGGCCATGTGGGTTAATGAAATAAAAAACAAGGAGTTATTTCATCACAATTATTTCCCAATTCTCTTCTCCCCCAATCAATCTCTCATCCTTACATTCTTGCCCTCCCTCTATTAATCATATTCTCTCTTTTTCTCACTATCAACCACAATTCTCCTCTCTTCTCCTTACCCTCTCTAATTTCCCCCTTACATCGTCTTATTATTCATGAAGAAAATTTGCAATGTCTTCAAATCTGACCACGTATTGCTCTATTACCATATTATTTCCGGTTAAATTGATGTAGAGTTTGTTTTCTTTGTCGCTGTAATTATTTTTTTTAACTTGTTCCTCTCATAAAAATTTCTGTCGTACCGTTCGTCTCTTCAAATGCACAGGATATACTTGGAAACTCTAATTAAGATATTGGAGACATTGACCCATTTGTCATAGTATTTACAATTATTTATCATAATGACACGATTTGCTGAAATTTTTTTAAAATGCCACATCACAAACTTGCTACTCCAATAGGTGAGTCTTGTTTGGACACGCGGCGGTGTCTTGCAGGCTACAAATCTCAGCCAGCAGCGTAGCGATAGTGAGATAGGCAGTCAAAATGGCAGATTGCCACATCTGCAAAAGCCTATCTACTTGGCTAAACACGCTGGGCTACTAGCCGAGATTAGGTCGAGCTTTTTTCACGTGATAGCACCCCTTGCGTAACACGAAATGGGCTACATCGTCCACTGTAGTCTACATTCGCATAGAGTTCAATAAATGTTGATCTCGAAATGCATCTACTACTAAAGTGACATCTTCATCCTCAACAATCTCTACAGAAACTCAACTTTCATGTCCCGAGGCACATCTAACAGTCAATCGAGAGAAAACTTGCCCGCATTGTAATATCAACTTCTAATATATTGTCTTTTTCAATTCATTAAAACTGCGCCGCAGGCTCATACGAAATAATTTTGTATCTCCTTCGAAAACTTGCCCATTAGAACCAAAATATTTTCTTCTATTGTAATTTACTATGGCAATTACTGAAACATTACCATCACTCTTTTTGAAAAAAAATACACAAAACTTTAACAAAAAGAAATAATTACAAAATCTGACCTGAAATAGAAACAACGAAATA